CTTATATCATTGCCATAATGGCATATACCCATGTTTATCTGACATTGCTTCTTAAAAACATTTTCTATGTTAATGTTAGTTTTTGTAATGTTCATTTTAATGACTGAAAAACATTCCATCCATCTCATAAGACAAATTTTTACTGATCTCCCAATGTAGAACATGTAAGTTATTTCTTTGCCATCACAGATGGTGTTGAATACTCATGTATACAGATTATTTTCATTGTGAATTGTTTCCTTGTGATAAATCTCCGGAAACGGGATTTCTGTCTTAGAGTAGAGGACATTTTTAGCTCTGTAAGCGTAGTGCCAGATTGCTTTCTAAAAGTGTACCAGATTGACTTCTAGGTAAAGCTGCAGAGTGACGTAGAATAACAGAAGCTCCCTTCTTTTATACCTAATTGAATTGACAACAAATCGATCCTAAAAATTCCCCAGAAATAAGCAAATAAATTATGGACAGAGAGAAAAAAAAACTGGTGTATGATGCATCTCTCAGTTCAGAACCTGCCACCTCAATGAACTGCTAATGGTATTGTAGAAAGGAAAACAGGTGGATTGTTCTCACTGGCAATCACCAACATGGAGGACAGAGAACTGTGCTGTGACGGTGATGGGCAGCTACAAGAGATCTGAGAGAACCCTCAATCACAGAAGCCCCTGCATGATGCTGTAGCACCTCAGTGGGGCCAGAAAAACTACTACGATTTGCATCTTGCAGAATCGTGGGCTGGATGGGGATGAGAGTTCAATCCCACAGGAGTGGAGCACATGTTGCTAGCTAGGATGGGGTGAGATGGGTTCACGGTTTAGGGAAGTTGACTAAATTTCAGAGAAAGAATGAAGAGCCCAAATGTCCCAGGAATAGCAACTCTTTTTACTCAATCCTTGCAGCCTGAGGCTAGGGAAAAGAAAGCCACATGCTGGTGCTTGAACTGTGGCGAAGAAATAGCTAAGATAATCTTGTCCCAGATATTGTTGGGTAAACATAGGAAGAATTTACCTGATTATATCCAAGTAAGAAAGGTATGGCATTTGTGCAAATGAAAGAGACAGAGAGAATGTCTAATAGAAAAAAATAACCCAAAGACCAATAGAATTGAGGAAGGGAGTAGGGGGAAAGAGAAGGAAAGGGAAAGGGGAGGTACTAGGGAAAGAAATGGAGCATATTATGTGCACATGTGAATATGTCAGAATGAACCCACTTTTATATATAGTTATAATTAAAACATAATTTAAGAATAAAAGAAAATATAACCCAAGAAACAGAAAATATTTCCTGTTGACTAGTATGGGATACTGATAAAAAAAATAGGTATGCAGATTAACTGGATAGAATTGAAAGTTAAAAAACCTTCATATTTATTTGACTTAAATTTTGACAATGCTACCTAGGTAATTAAATGGGAAAAGAATAATCTTTTCAACAAAGGATGCTAGAACAACTGAATTACACATGTAAAGGAATGAATTTGGACCTCTACTTCACACCAAAACCAAAAATGTACTCAAAATATACCAAAGGCATATATCTAAGGGTTAAAGCTATGCAATTCTTAGAAGTAAACAGATGCAAATTTTTGCAACTTTGAATTAGGCAGTGATTTCTTAGGACACTAAAATCAACATCAAAAAAGAAAAAAATAGACAAACCAGACACCATCAAAATTAGGAACTTTTGTATTTCAAAGGACAATTTCAAATAAAAAGATAATCAAGAATTGGGTGATTTTTATATCAAATTCTGTATCTTATGAGGGATTCATATGTAAACTATATAAAGAAGTACTTCAACTTCAAAAGACAAATAACCCAACTTGAAAATGGGCAAAGTACCTGAATTGACAATTCTCCAAGGAAGACATACAAGGGGCCAATAAACACATGGCAAGATGTTCAACATTATTAGCTATCAGGAAAGTTCAAATTAAAACTAAAATGAGATACTACTTCACAGCAGCTAGGATGGGTATAATAAAAAGATGGAAAACAAGTGTTGGTGAGGACATAGGAAAACTGGAAACCTCTCATACTATAATGGGGATTTAAAGTGGTGCAGCAATCTTGGAAAAGAGCACTTGGCATTTTTTCAAAATTAAACAGAATCCAAATGTCCACCAACTGATAAATGGTTAAATAAGATATATCCATATAATAGAGTACTGCTTGGCAATTTCAAGTAGTGAAGTGTTGTATATATGCTACAACTTGGATGAACCTTAAAAACATTATGATAAGTGAAAGAATCCAGTCACAAAAAGAGCACATGCTGTGTGATCTATTTATATTAAATGTGCAGAACAGGTAAATCTATAAGGACCGAAAGTAGATGAAGTGGTTGTCTAGTGCAGGGCAGCAAAGGATAGTGACATGGCTTCCCAGAGGCAAAGCCTCTCGGCCAGCCTACTGGCCCAAGGCAAGAACAGGTGGGCCAGCTGCCTGGAGCCCGACATTGCCTGGCGGGGCTGAGGCTCAACTCTCATCCCACGACCTCAACTCCTGCTTCCTGACTTGCCACAAGAACATGGAAGTGGGGCAGATTTGAATGAGAGTTGGGACTCACGAATTGACCGATAATGGGTAGTACATTTCCAAACCCTAATTAGCATAAGTTTGGACCAATAGGATTGGTAGTTTTTTCAAACCCTAATTAGTGGAAGTTTGGACCAATAGCAGTAATCCAAGTGCTATATAAACCTCTAGCCTAGCACATTTGGGATGCAAAAGGGTGCTATCATATCCCTCTTTCTCCTGCCAGAATTCTGTTTCTTTTCCTCAATAATTTCTTCTCTCAAACACTTGCTCATCCTGGTCTGTGGATTTCATTCTTCAAATTCACAAGACAAGAATCAAGGAAGAAGAAATTGATGGTGAGCCCCTGGGGTCTGCTGCGACACTAGAGGGCGTGCCCCACATTTGTCAGCTACCCAGACTTATAGTTTATGCAGATCCACCTGCCAGTAGAAGCAGAAACTCAACTTTCATCTCAAAACTCCATTGATGGCTGAGAATTATGAGGTTTCTTTTTGATGCGGTGAAGAATTCTAACATGTATTATGGTCATTATCTCACAACTCTTTGGATATTTATCATACCCCACATACAGAAACTTTTAGTAAACCATTGAATTCTATATTTGAAAGAGTTCAATTACATGGTATGTGAATTATGTTTCAATAAAGCACAGAAAATTTTGTAAGGAATGATAAAAGAGGAACTGAAGAATCAAAGAACGTGAGAATCAAATAATACTGTTAAGTAAACTATATCCAGCGAGAAACAAAATGTACAAAGTTAGGCTTCTAATAAATGCCTTAGGGGAAAAGTTTGATATAATTATACATGCTATAGAAGAAAATGATAAAAATAGTGAAACAGACTATGGTCAATATGGAAATGAAAAAAATGTTAATTCCTAAAGTTGCAAACACAATAATTACAACAGACACTATATACAAAGAGATAAATGCAAAAACTTTTCCTAAAATGAAGAACTACTTCTATAAATTATAGGGGTTTGCTGCATTCTAAGAAAAACTGATACAGAATAATTGGCCAAAAAGACAACTTAATTAAATTATAAGATTTTTCAGGTTAAAATAGATTTCATCAGGCAACTAGATTTTAAAAAAGAGTCAAAAGAAAAATATTTGACAGGCCTCAACTTCTGCTCATAACTTAAAATGCAACAAAACAGAATGAATTATGTAAAATTCAGAAAGAAAATGTGACATGAATATTACTCTCAGCCAAATCTCTGTTAAAATATAACAGCAGCAGACAGAATTCTCAAACGTGTAAAGACTGAGAGAAGTGAGCAGCCATAAGCCTCTTATTGAAAAAAAAAACATCAAATCAGCCAACTAAAGAATTAGTCAAAACAAAGAACTCTGAAATGTTCCTGTTAAAAGACGTGATTCTGAGCACTGAATTATTTAAAGACTGTATAGATCTAAAACTAAGGAATGGCAGAATTAAGGTTGCAATCAAAACATGAATGTTGTAAACCCTGACAAAGAAGAAATTGTGCATGAGTAATAAGAGCCAGGGAAGGAGAGGGTGAAGGAAGAGGGAATGTTGACTACCTCTCATTTCATAAAGAAATGGATGAAACTGGCCTAAAAATTGAATATGATGTCAGGATTTGCTTTTAAAAAGTTCACACCAAGAAAGAAGGGAAGAAGGGAAGAGAAAAGGCGATGAGGAAGGCAGATGAATATGGTGGCCCTTGGTAAAGTGGAAATGGATGAAGCAAGAATTGCAAAACATTAATAATTGAAACAGGAGGATGACACTTGAATGGTGTATTACACCATTCTCTTTATTTTCGTGCATTTCAATTTTTTCACAATAAAAAGGTAAAACACAAAGTAACAAAATCAGAGTAGATTATTTTTTAAAAGCATAATGACTTTAACTCTGCAAAGGCTTGAAAATTATTTTTTTAATTAAGAAACACCTTTTAGGAACCGATATCCTGATAGTGAATAATGATGTGTCTAAAGTTCAGTGGAGGCATCTGTTTTATTCCAATATTTTCCTCTGCTAGATTTAAGTGAAATTAAATTTCTCATCTTTATTTAAAATTTTGTCATGTTTCCATGCTTATAAAATACTTCCCTCTCATCTTTCTGTCCTTCCCTCTTCAACATGTTAGTGTGCCTAAGAAGAGAGCCAAAGGATTGCCATCAAGAGTTATTTCTGGATATGGAATTTGGAATGATTTATTGCCTTTTTAATTTTCGTTTTTAGTCCTTGCTATGGATATTATTAAAAATAATTTAGTAACTTGCATGGTCAACACTTATTTTTAAATAAAATCACCATTCTTTAAAAAGTGTTGCTTTAGTTTGTACAGGTGACAGCAATGTGTAAGTCTGACCACAGTTATGCCAACACTGGTTGTTACACATTTTGATTGTTATAGCTGAGGTACATCGAAATGGGAAATGGGAATCCTTGGTAAACTAATATCCTGTTCTCTTTCTTTGGATCCAGGAAGCATCTATGATTTTTATTTCTTCAAACAAGGTAGTGGACATTGGGAAGCCTGGACAGAGTACATCACCAAACAGGAGGAAATTATCCCCGATGGTGCAAAGGTAAAAGAAAAGCATTGGTTATAGAATTGTGGCTTCCCTGAATTACCCAGATATCCTCCTGGCTAGAGGAATTAGCAGTTCTTTGTGGGCATTTTTTAAAGCTTCTTTCAATAAAAGATTCCAACATGAGTTGCATCAAGCTTCAAGAAAGCACAGACTTTAGAATCAGAGAGACCTATGTTCCTTACTCAGCCTTCACTCTCTGCCTCCCTTTATTCAACCATAAAATGGAATAAAAAGAAACATTTAAATGATTGCAAAATTTGAAGGCAAAATACATGAGCATGTGGCACATACTAGGGGTTAGATGAATATTTGTTGCTATTCTCATTATTGTCGTTACCAATAATCCCATGTGGTTCACCTCTGAGTCACCTGAGCCCCCACAAAATATCTTTAAAACCTTCAGAAAGAGATTTTCGATTTTCTTGATCAGCAGAAAAGTAGTTTCTCATTAATAGATTTTTTTTTCTAGGTAGTAGGTAATTCACCTATAACCCTGTTCATTTCATGCCTTTTGAAACTTTGTACAGATGTACACTTTCATGCCTGTTGGTGGCATCTAGTGGATATAATTTATCTTTCTGGGGTGAGTGCAGATCTTTCAGACCCTGGGTGCAGTGGTGGGCAGTGGATGGGAAACTGGGAACATGGACAACCCAGGTAGAAGCCAAGTGGGACCAACCATGCTCAATGTGTTCAGGATGCCTTAAGTGGGCGAGTGAGTGCCGGCTTCAGGACAGAGCTTGGGTACCTGAACTCTAGGGATTTGAAATCTAGCTGAATTCATACAGACAAGAGTCCAGTGTAGAAAATAATTTCAATTCTTCTGGGAATTTTCCCTTGCAAACTATTGATGTAGTCCCTGAAAATAAAATATTATGAAACCCAACTTGTTTTAAATTTCCAGTCTTGATTGAAAAATAGGCATTGAGCTTTACTTTCTAGCTAAGTAGCTTTCACCCAGTTAGCCAGCTTTCTTGGACCTCAGTTTTTTCATCTACATTATTATAACCCCTGCCTCAGAGGGTTACTGGGAGGACTTCCGCCGGTAATGCAGACAAGATATCCAGAGTTTAACCCCTGTGATTTCTCTTGTCCACTTTAACCACCTTGCCCCATCTTCTCTTTTTTTTTTTTTTTTTGGCCAAATTGCTTCTCAAAAGAAGCAAAGATTTTGTCTACAAAGGCTTCCAAATTGCATAGACTTGGGTGGCATAAGTCTAAACTAGTTTGGCTTTGACACAAACCACAGTGTGACAGGTACTCCCCAGAGTTATATGCAAAGCAGCCCAAGCCATGAATCCCTCTCAGCCCAGACATACAAACAGACTTCCATGTATAATATGCATCTCCCTGCCTCCTCTTCTGCCCCCATGGAGGGACTAGATTGGTCAAATGACCAATGACAAGGTTCAGGCTCAGAGAAGCTAAGCTGAGGGTAAGATGTTCTTCCCAAAGAAATAGGGATTCCAGGAGCCCAAGATGGAGCCCTTAGATTCCACTTGGGACTTTGCAGTCTTTGAAATCTACTCAAGCTGGGATCTGAATCCCTGCATTTCTACTTACTGTGTTACTTGGGCAAATTACAAAGGGTTCTTGGGCCTCAGTTTCCTTGTCTATAAAACAAGGACAATAATTCTCATCTTTACATGCATGGTCTCATTTAAATCTCAAACCAACCCTGTGTATTATCCCTCTTTCAAAGATGAAGGGATGGAGGATATTGAAGAGGTTAAATACTCACTCAGGGTCATAAAGATACTAAGGACAGAGCTAAAATTCAAACCCAGGTCCTAGCATGCCAAGTCTCAGCCCCCTGGACCTGGGGCCAAGATTCTCCCTGTCTTTGTGGTACAGGTCTCAGAACTCATCATCCCCACAATGGAGACGGCCCGGCAGTCCTTCTTCTTGAAAACCTACTTGCACCATGAAATTCCGACGCTGTTTGTGGGTCCTACCGGCACTGGCAAATCAGCCATCACAAACAACTTCCTCCTTCACCTTCCCAAAAATACCTACCTGCCCAACTTTATCAATTTCTCTGCCAGAACTTCAGCCAATCAAACCCAGGACATCATCATGTCCAAGCTGGATCGACGGCGGAAGGGCCTTTTCGGGCCTCCCATGGGGAAGAAAGCAGTGGTGTTTGTGGGTAAGGACAAGTCCGGGTTCTTCCTCCCCAGGTGGCAGCAAACCAGAGCGTCCCCTTGAGGGGCCGCTGTACGGTCTTTTGACTTTTTCTAGAAGATAAAAATTTCTAGTTTGTATAATTTAGTATTCCCTCCATTCCCTTCCTCTCTCCTTCCTTCCTTCCCACTTTCCTCCCCTCCATGAGTAAGTAGTTCTAGAAGGAACTGTGGTGTTTGCCCTCTGACATCTCTAGAAGCAATATACACTTTGAGACAAAACCCTTGTTCCATTTTGTATCAGATAACTTATGTTACCGGTAAATGTCAAGTAAATATTTGTGAAATAAGAACACTGAATTTTCTCAGGGCTTTACCTCTTTACAAAACTCTTTCATTTATTTTATTTGAGCCTTATAACCCTGTGAAGTTATTAATCATCATCATAATTTTACTTGAGTTAATTGAGGCTCCAAGGGGTTAAATTTCCTGTTCAGGATCAAACGTCTAAAAAATTCTAGTGCCATGGTACAAACCGAGGTTTCTTGGTGCCTAACACATTTTTTGTCTGACTGCTGATTCATAGGGTTCTAGAATACCATACTCTTCTGGGTTATCCTCTGTAAACTCACATTGCATGTATTTATATTCTTGTCAACTAACATCAATTCCTTAAAGGAGAGAGATCCTTTTTTCTTTTCCTTCTTCTTTTTCTTGTTTTTGGGTTCTGGGAATGGAACCCAGGGCCTCGTGCATGCTAGGCAAGTGCTTTTCCACTGAGCTACATCCCTAGCCCCTTTCTTATTTTTCCTTTCTTTTCTTTCATGTATCTCAGTCTCCCTCCCTAATTTTGGGGGGGTTACTAGAGATTTAATGCTGGGGAGCTTTATCCTAAGCCTTTTTTATTTTATTTTACTTTTTTATTTTGAGACAGGATCTCACTGAGTTTCTTAGAGCCTTTCTAAGTTGCCAAGGATGGCCTCAAGCTTGCAATCCTCCTACCTCAACCTCCCCGGTCCTGGGATTATAGGTGTGTGCTGTGGTGCCCAGTTTCTCCCTCCCTATTTCTTTTGAGGGGTACTGGGGATTGAACTTGGGGACACTCAACCACTGAGCCACATCCCCAGCCCTTTTTTGTACTTTTTCTTAGACAGGGTCTCACTGAGTTGCTTGGTGCCTCGCTTTTTTGCTGAGGCTGGCTTTGAACTCACAATCCTCCTGCCTCAGCCTCCCAAGCCACTGGGATTACAGGTGTGTGCCACCACACCATTCTCTCCCTGTTTTTATTATGTATCCAAAAACAGTTTAAGCTTTGCACCTAAACATATCTGGGTTCAAATATCACTTTTTAACTAGGCGTAGTATAACTTAAGCTCTCTGACCCTAATCAGTTCCTTACTATTAATGTAGAGGTAATACTATCTTCCTTTAAAGTCATTATTTAGATTAGATGAGATCATGAATGTAAAATTCCTAAAACGTTACCTGTCACAATTGGGCATTCTACCAATGTTTGTTGAGGAAACATTTAAAAAGCTTCTGTCTTACTGAGTGGCTCCAGTGTGCCAGGATTGAGCAGCATGCTATTGGAGGAAATGTCATCCCTGCCCTTACAGAAGCCTGTAGTCTCCTCTTGCTATTTTGGTTTCACTCATCAAAAAATCTTTGCTCCCATTGGAGTTCAACTATTATTACCTATTGGTCAAATTAAGTTCTTCTATTGGGGACTGTGTTGTAACTCAGTGGTGAAGTGTGTGCTTAGAATGTACAAGACCCTGGGTTCAATTCCCAGCACCACTACCAAATATATATATGTATATGTATTATATATACTGGACATGGTGGTGACTGCCTGTCCCAGCTACTTGGGAAGCTGAGGCAGGAGGATTGTTTGAGTCCAGAATTTGAAGGCCATGCGGGACCACATAGCAAGATCCTATCTCAAAGTCAAAACAAAACAAAACAAACAAAAAACCTGTTGGCTGGGAGTTTGACTATCTTCCTTACCTTCATATCTCCAGCAATTAACAAAATATAGTGGGCAATCAATATATTTTGGTTGAGAAAAATTAAATACCTTGTTGCTGATGCCAGTTCTATAACCACAATGGGCAGAAATTTCAACAAGGCAGGAGAGTCCAGAACACAGGAAACCCCTTCCCATCTGGCCTGGATGTCCAGTGACCCAGCCCTGCCTGGAGGGGGAATGGGACAGCTGGGCATCAATTTTTCTGTGGAGGGAATTGTCATCTGTCACCTCCTGTGAGAGAAGAGGACCCACAGACTTAATAATGTGCGGCTGTGCTTCCTTCTACAGATGACCTCAACATGCCGGCCAAAGAGGTGTATGGGGCCCAGCCCCCCATCGAGCTCCTGAGACAGTGGATTGACCACGGTTACTGGTTTGACAAGAAAGACACAACCAGGCTGGATATTGTGGATGTGCTGCTTGTGACAGCCATGGGTCCTCCTGGAGGAGGAAGGAATGATATCACTGGTATGTGAAGGGAGGAGCTCATTCCTTCCCCCACTCCACAGTAGAGCTGGGCTGCTTGCCTGGAGGATTGGTACGGGGCACTGTGCCCTGGGAGAGCAGGGGGCACACAGCTGGAGGGGTTTGGGTCAGCTCTAGACTTCATATTGTGAGAAGTAGGATGTGTGAGATAGGATGGGAAATGACAACAGGAAGTCATCCCTAGGTGCTGGAGACACAGAAGGTGTCATATGATAGGGATAATTCAGCATATGGAAAGTTCCAGGAGGGGAAGCCAGATACGACATCAACGAGGAATGCATGACAGAGTCCCCTTTTGGAATTGTTGTAGTTCTTCAGGTTGCCAAGACACAAATCTAAACAAAGTGGCCAAAGCAAAATATATAATAGTAATAGCAGATAAATTAGTAAAATTTCCTCATCATCTAACAGTTCAGAAATCATCTTCAGGTTCCATTTGATCCATCCACTTCTATGTTTCTGTACTTTGATGGCCATCTTTGGTTAAGAATTTCATTCCATTTCTGGACTTGGATTCTGTAACTTTGGACAAATCTCTCTTCTCTGGCTCGAGGCTTTCTTATCTGTAAAATAAGGGAAATGGAGAGGATGATCTCATCTGAGTGCCCAGACCACCACCTTCCACCTCCAGAGTAGAGTTGAGGTACACTTTTGCTTTGGGTTTAGCTATGGTTGGATCTAAGGAACCTGGCACCCACAAACTCAGCACTGCTCTCACCAGTGAGAAGGAAGGCGCTTGGTGTGTTACTTTTTTCTATTTAAGATTTAGCTGTTCAAAAAGGAATGTGTTTCCATCCCGCATAGCAGCAGACAGTTTTCAGCTATGATCTTTGGGAAAAAAACAATAGTAAAGCCCAATGTCCAGCACTGGCCAAGAACACATTTGTAGTCAATGAAATTGGGCATATTAATTGGCCACAGTGAGGGTATCCGCGTAGCAAGGAGACCTGTGGTGGTGCCTGGTGAGAGGGCGCTAAGCAAGCTTGAGGGCAGTAGGGAAGCAGGGACCCTGTTCTGGGTTGGGTACTCCCTGGAAGTGAACACAATCTGATGAGTATCTTAACAATTCTGGTGTAAGAGTCATGAGGAATGAAGACGAGGTAGACCTGTCACTTGGTGAAGAAGCTGAGCCATTTCAGCTGTGAGGGAGGAGGTTTGGCCACGTCCCTGGTTGGCAGAGCAGTCTTGTCTCTATTATACCACCCAGTCATGGAACAATCACACCAGGTGCTGATTGTTGAAGAAATTGTGTTCAGCAGAGAACCAGCTGTCTAGCTGAGAATTAGCTGGGGCTGAGATGGGGAAACTGAGGATCGAGGCAACATAGTACAGGATTGAGAGCACCTTTAACATGGGTCTGTGTTCATATAACACTGAGCAAACATAAGTCAACATTAAGTACTATTTTTATCCCTTCATCAAAAGGTTAAGTGACTTCCTCAGGTTCACATAGCTAACAACGGTCCCACATCAATAATATATAAAATATTATTCTATTCCCTTTAAAAAAGCAAAACCTACATATGTCAGTGTATATATGTACAGACAGATAATATCTTTTGTGTGTATGTTGTGTATACACATGCAAACTATAAATTTACACATCTACATGTGAAAAATTAAGGAAGAATTTTGAGGAAATGACAGCAACAGCAACTCAGGTTTTGAATCTTCCCAAATCCCCACACAAATACAGGTAACTAGATAACAGAACCTTTAACTGATAAAAGGAAAATTCTTTTTTTAAAGAGAGAGAGAGAGATGAGAGAGAATTTTTTTAATATTTATTTTTCAGTTTTTGGTGGATACAACATCTTTTATTTTATTTTATGTGGTGCTGAGGATCGAACCCAGCACCCTGCGCATGCCAGGCAAGCGCGTTACCACTTGAGCCACATCCCCAGCCCAAAAGAAAAATTCTTACCAACATACAAGAACACAGAAACCATTATATCCATAAGCACTTTCTTATAAATCTCCTTGATGATGGTGTTCAAACAATCAAAATATTACAGAGAGATCAATGAAACCACTGGGAATTAAGCATAAAACATAGGATTACTTGTTCAACTAAAACTAAATGGGAGAGATTATAATATGTATGGGAGATATTACAGGATTCAGTGATATAGATACAGAACAATCAAAAATGGAAGGGTCATCGGGAGAAAGCATACAAAAATTTATCATAAATGGCATTGGTGCCTGGCGCAGTGGCACATGCCTGGAATCCCAATGGCTCCGGATGCTGAGGCAGGAGGATCTCAAGTTCGAAGCCAGCCTCAGCCACTTAGTGAGGTGCTAAGCAACTCAGTGAGACCCTGTCGCTAAATAAAATACAAAAAACAGGCTGAGAATGTAGCTCAGTGGTTAAGTGCCCCAAGTTCAATCCCTAATACAAAAAAAGAAAAAAACTGGCAGTGGTACTATATTTCTTATTCTAAGGGCTTTATGTATGCCAAGTGAGATTATGCAAATGAGTAATTATGCAGTTTTCTATTTCTCTTATCCCTTGTGTCCTGGAGTCTCGGCATAGAAGGGGAAAAAGATCAAGATGTAATAGACAAGTAGTTAAGTCAATGCCCTGTGGTCTTAGACTTGAACTAGAAATGCAGTAATAATTCATCAGGTCCCATGATAGCCACTGAAAAGGTCTAGGAATAATGATCAACTCACTAACAACAAGCAGGCTTACCACCCCGATTGCCATCTTGAAATCCAATTTCCTACTAAAAGAAACCAGGATTTTTATTATTTATTTATTTATTTATTTATTTATTTATTTTTGTAGAAATGACTGATTGTTTGTTTGGGTCAGGAAACATATGATATAAGCCTGTCACTTCTTGATATACCAGATAGTGAGAAAGCTATCTGAGACTACTAGAGGTATGTCAGAAGGACTCAGTAGCCAACAGAAAGAGGCCCTCACTGACCAAAGATAAGAACATTTCAACTTCAACAGTGATGATGATTTCAATGTATTGATGTTTGCCAAAATATGTTTCAATCCATGAAAGCATAATCAATCATCATAATCAGAGGTGGTCAGCTTCAGAAGTTGATAAGGAACAACTCATTGTGTTTACAACTAATAAACAGAATCAAGCATTTACACTCCTCCCCCCACTCCCCTCCCCCCAGTACTGGGGATTGAGCTGACAGTGCTCTACCACTGAGCTACATCCTCAGTCTTTTTTTTTAATCATTTATCATTTATTTTTATAATAATTTTTATTTGTTCTAAGTAGTTATACATGATAGTAGAATGTATTTTGACATATTATACATATATGGAGTATAACTGCTCGTTCTTCTGGTTATATCTGATGTAGAATTACGTTGATTGTGTATGCACCCAGGATAGTATTGTCTGATTCATTCTACCATCTTTCCTATTCCCATTCCCCCTCCCGTCTCTTCATTCCCCTTTGTCTAATCCAAAGTACTTCTTTTCTTCCCTAACCACCCACCACACACCTTACTGAGAATTAGCCTCTGCCTATCAGAGAAAATATTTGGACTTTGATGTTTTGGGAATGGCTTATTTCACTTAGTATGATATTCTCCAGTTCTATTAATTTACTGACAAATGACAGGGTCTTGCTGAATTGCTAAGGCTGACCTGGAACTTGCAGTCCTCCTGGGTCACTGGGAGTACAGGTGTACACCACATTATCCTTTTTCATATGATATGTATCACTGTATAACCATATAGTAAATGAGGAAATTGTCTCTATAGAAAAGGGGATGTGGCTCAGTAGTAGAATGTTTGCCTAATATGCATAAGGCCCTAGATTTGATCCCCAGCACTGTAAAAATAAAACATTTTTAAAAATGAAAACAGAAATAACTCAAAACATCAGTTTGCAGTCCTCTGTGAATTGATGGATCTAGCCATTGAGCACAAGTAGCTACCAGCATTACCAAATGAGAAGCACCATCGTGTGCCTTCTGATGAAGGAACGCACCAGCACCTACAGTCTGGCCAAAGGAGATGAAGCCTGGCTCTGATTCTCTCTAGATCCAGCTATAAATTTATAGGAAACACAGAGGAGAGAGGAACATGGTGAACAGCACCAGGGGTATATAATCAACAAAATTCTACAGGTCAAACAACGTAGATCCACAACAGATAAGAGAAATCCTGTGGATTAGAAAACAATTTAAAGATATGTAAAGTACTTTTAATTGGCAGAAATTAAACTCTGGTGCCTAAGAATAAACATTTGAGTGCTGAAAACCATTAAGAAATATAAGATAGGAATTACAGGAAAGTCAGGATAATGATTTTTTTTTTTTTTTTTTTTGGTGGTACTGGGAATTAAACCCGGGGGCACCTAACCACTGAGTCACATCTCCAGCCCTTTTTACTTTTTTTTTAAATTTTTATTTCATTTATTTATTTAGGTACTGGGGATTGAACTCAGGAGTACTCAATCACTGAGCTGCATTCCCAGCCCTATTTTCTATTTTATTTAGAGACAGGGTCTCACTGAATCGCTTAGCACTTCACCGTTGCTAAGGCTGGCTTTGAACTCTCAATTCTCCTGTCTCAGCCTCCAGAGCTGTTGGGATTACAGGTGTGTGCTACCTCGCCACCACTGCGCCCAGCCCTTTTTGCTTTTTATTTTGAGCCATGGTCTCACTAAATTGTTTAGTGCCTCACTAAGTTGCTGAGGCTGATCTTGAACTTGGAAATCTCCTGTCTCAGCCTCCCAAGCCACTGGATTACAGGTGTGTACCACCACACCCAGCTAGTGACAACTTTTTGGAGGAGGAAAGAGAGAGAGAGCTATGACCTGAATGGTGCCCATGGAAGGGCTTCAATGAAGGACTGGCAGAGTTCTGTTTCTTGTCCTGGGTGATGGAGGTAAGGGGATTTAATGACTTCACTAAACTATACATTGGTTTTGTGTAGTTTTCTGAATCTGTGACTTACTTTATATTGAAACTTTTTAAAAAATAAAATTATTATAACAGGCAGATCTAGAGAGACAGAAAGTAGATTATTAGTTGCTGAAAATGGTAAGAAAATGAGGAATGACTACTAATGGGTACAAGGTTTCTTTTAGGGGTGATTAAAATGTTCTAAAATTGTAGTAATGGTTACATAAAACTGAATATACTAAAAATCATTGCATTATGTACTTTAAGTGGATGAATTATATAATATGTTAATTAATTTTGATATATCAATAAAGCTTATATAGATAGGTAGATAGATATGGATATCTTGAGTAGGTAGGTAAATAGATAGATATCAATTTGGGGGGGGGCGGTTATCAGGGATTGAACTTAGGGGCACTTGGCCACTAAGCCATGTCCCCAGCCCTATTTTGTATTTTATTTAGAGACAGGGTCTCACTGAGTTGCTTTGCTTAACACCTCACTGTTGCTGAGGCTAGTTTTGAATTTGTGATCCTCCTGCATCAGCCTCCCAGAAGATATCAAATTAATAGTGGTTAATTGGAGAAGGGAGTGAATTTGGTGTATGGAAAATAAATGAGTGAAGGAGGTACTTCCTACAGAACTATTTCTGAATAACTATTTCTTGCCTTAATTTTTAAAACATAATCCTGTGCACTAGATTAATGCTGTTAACAGGCCTTTTGTCATCTGTACTGTACGGTCTGTATCTGTACTGAGCAGTGCAATAACCACCTGTCTTGTGTGGCTCTCAAGCACTTGAGGTGAAGCTAGAGAGACTGAAGAAATCCATTTTTAATGTTACTTAATGTTAATTAATTTGAGTTTAAATAGCCACATAAGGCTAGAGGCTGACATGCTGGACAGCAGAGCAATAGAACATGAAGGCAGAGTGAAACCCAACTGCCCTGTGTCCCAAGGTCACTAGGTCCAGGGAGCATGAGTGTGTGCAAACTAGAATGTGTGTGTTCTCCAGGTCGATTCACTCGCCATTTGAACATCATTTCCATCAGTGCCTTTGAGGATGACATTTTAACCAAGATTTTTGGTTCTATTTCGGATTGGCACTTTGGGAAAGGATTCGATGTGGCATTCTTAAGGTGAGAGTTTCCTGGATATTGACCTGGGTTGGGGGGGTGGTTTTCTCCATTCTGGCCCCTTCTTGAATGATCGGCCTTCCTCCTCCTCCCAAGGCATGGAAAGATGATGGTACAAGCGACCAGGACAATTTACAGAGCTGCAGTAGAGAACTTCTTGCCAACTCCCTCCAAGTCCCATTATGTATTTAACCTGCGGGACTTCTCACGGGTGATCCAGGGGGTACTGCTGTGCCCTCACACCCACCTGCAGGTGAGCCCCCATCATTTCATTACCATGAGCATTCAGCAATATGCTTAGATGTATAATGATAGGGATAGCTGGATTTATTAAGCACTTAATTCATGCTAAGCATCATGCTAAATATTTTATACACTTTATCTCATTTACTCTTTACTTCAATCCTAGAATTTAGATACTGCTTGAGACCTATCACCTCAGATACCACCTTCCACTCATTCATATAATTAACTCTGGATTTTTAGGATTTTGAAAAATTTATCCGGCTCTGGATCCATGAGGTATATAGGGTGTTTTATGATCGCCTGGTTGACAAGGAGGACAGAGAGGTCTTTTTTAACATGGTGAAAGAGACCACCTCCAGTTGTTTCAAGCAGACTGTGGAGAAGGTAAGTCAGATTCTGTGACCATTTGGCCTCAGAAATGGTCCCCAGTGTTTGACCATGTTAGTCTCAGATTCCAGTTCCCTTCCCAGTAGAGACTCACCACTCTGCTCTGAATCTCAGGAAATGCTACTGCGGGCATCCATCAGCTGGTCATTTGATTTGGTGATACTTGACTTGGTCCAATTTGGCTTCATTTCTAAAGTAACATAAAGTTGTATCCATTCACTATATCCATCAGTGGTTTCATATATGATGTTATTTGTTTACAATTAATTTAAAATGCAGTTTTAGGGTCAATTTATTTGAGAGTTGAGGGAGGAAAAAAGATTTTTCATGGTTTGACTGAGGCCCTATTAAAGCCCAAATGGAAGATTATAATGATCTTCCATTTGTGAATATTTTCTTTTTTCATTTTAATAAAAGAAATTTTTTTAAAAAACTATATATGTGCATCCTGTAGTTCTACCCCCATTGCTAAGAAGCTGTGATTTCTCCATAAAAAATTTGCAGAAGCGTTTTATATTATAGTCAGAGGCCCATTGCAAAGCAATGCCAGGTTCTAGTATCAGCAAGAGGAAACATCTAAAGCATTCCTTCTCTAGCCACAGAGCAGGGGCCAGGGGTATTGCCTGCACCTCTGTTTGATGAGTGAGGAAAGACATGAAAAATGATACCATCCTTCCTCTGCCTTCTCTAGGGATCTTCCAATCTGACCACCAGTGTTTAAGTGGTTAGTAAATAGACCAACCTTCCCCTTCACACTCTTTCTTTAATGTCCTTTCACCATAGTCTTTTACAACCATCAGATGCACATATTACATTTTTAAAACATGCAGCTATTGAGAAACCATGCCTTAAGGATGTGCTCAGAAGAAACAAACATGCCCCTCCTCTCTCCCCTCCCCACCTCCCACTGCCAGCCTAGTAGGGCCACAATCTGAGTGGCCAACTGAAAACTCCTCTTTCTCACAGGTGCTCATCCACTTGTCACCCACTGGAAAGATTGTTGATGATAACATCCGTAGCCTCTTCTTTGGGGATTTCTCCAAGCCAGAAAGTGATCAAAAAATCTATGATGAGATCACTGACCTAAAACATCTCACAGCGGTCATGGAGTACTACCTGGAAGAGTTCAACAACGTCAGCAAGGCCCCCATGTCCCTGGTCATGTTCAGGTTTGCCATTGAGCACATCTCCAGGATCTGCAGAGTTCTGAAGCAGAACAAAGGCCACTTGCTCCTGGTGGGCATTGGGGGCAGTGGGCGGCAGAGTGCCACCAAACTGTCCACGTTCATGAACTCCTATGAGCTCTACCAGATTGAGATCACAAAGAGTTACACAAGCAACGACTGGCGTGAGGATCTAAAGAAGATCATGCTGCAGGTGGGGGTGGCCGTCAAGAGCACTGTGTTCCTCTTCGCCGATAACCAGATCAAGGATGAGTCATTTGTGGAGGATATCAATATGCTTCTGAACACGGGTGACGTGCCCAATATCTTTCCAGCTGATGAGAAGGCTGACATTGTGGAGAAGATGCAATCAGCCGCCAGGACAGAAGGAGAGAAGATAGAGGTCACTCCTCTTTCCATGTACAACTTCTTTATTGAGAGAGTGAAAAAGAATCTCCACATTGTGCTTGGTGAGAAGAAGCAAGCTCAGTTTACCCTTTCTCCCCTAGTATTTTAGGGTCTTCTCCATACCCTAAACTCAATCCCTTTACCATGGTCCCATGGTTGAACCAACCAAAGCACCCCAAGTTCAGCCTGGAGTTTCTCTAGCAACTTCTTCCACTCTTCTCTTTAACAACTACTTAACAACTTACACCTGCTCCGCTCTCTTAATTCTCTGAATTCTCCTTTGAGAAAGAGCACGCATTAGCACGTTACCCTTGCACAGATCAACACCTCATGTTCTCTCTGTGAATGACACACCCATCTATCTGAAAGCCTAGGAGGTGTGTTTAATACCTCTTTCTCCTTACCAAGTCCTGGTGATTTTTACCTCTTCACTCTCTGTCATAGCCACCCTCTAATCTCCATCTCTGTCACCTTCTCATCTGCTAAGTCATTGTCATCCTACCCAGACTTCACCTCTGAAACCTTTTAACTGTCTACCTCCACTCTTGTCCATTCTAGAGCTTTCTTTTTCACTGAGCCAGTATGATTTCTTTTATGTATTATAAATATGATCATTGTATCTGTGCATCAGTGTATACGTGTGTAAGTGTGTGCACAAACACATAGACACACACATACTCTCTCTAATTGCTTTCCATCAGGATAAGGGTCAAAATTTCTAACCTGTATTCTCATATGGCCCCCTATCAGACTATCCCTTGTATCCTCTGTACCCTCATCTCAAACCAAGCTCCTCTTCTCTCTGTTCTTGAGCCACACTGACCACCCCATAGTACCACCTATGCATCATGCTTCCTCAACCACACTGAGAATCAGTAAATAATGAATGGAATTAGAGATGTAGAATGTAAAATTTGTAGTCATATGAAGACAGGGTCAGAAATTAGCTGATGGCAACTTCTATAAGTAACTATATATGAGATGTCTATGATTCCCTTGTGTCAGAGTCAGCATAGATAGAGCAAGTAGGTCAAAGGGCTCCACTCTGACTAAGAGGCCCCAAGGATCCATAAGGGATAATGGTGTGTTTGAGAGGGTGGTCAGAGGCTGTTGTGATACATGGCAATCTCATCACAAAGTTACATGAAAATATCTCATGATACCCACTACCTTGCCCTACCAGAACCCTGGGAAATACCTGTTCCCTTTCACCTCCCTGCCTTGGAGGAAGGAAATTAACACAGTCGACTTTTCATTAGCTATGAGTCCAATTGGGGATGCCTTCAGAAACCGCCTGAGGATGTTCCCTTCGCTGATCAATTGCTGCACAATTGATTGGTTCCAGTCCTGGCCCACAGATGCCCTGGAGTTGGTGGCCAACAAATTTCTAGAGGATGTGGAGCTTGAGGATGACATTCGGACAGAGTAAGTGTTAGCCACATTTTAGTATCCACAGTATTCTAAGCTAAAAATCCTTACATGGGCTGTACTTATGTTATTGTTTTAAAGATTTCTTAATTTACATGTAGAAGAGGTCTGAACACTTTTAAATTGAATCACACTTATTTAAATATTTAATAAGGCACCTTTTATGGAAAAGAAAAAATGCATTGTTCAGAAGAAGCCTGGACATGTATTATCCTCATAGCTGAGAGGACCTGGATCTGACAATACAGTGATTTCAATAGTCTTAGGACATGCAGTCACATCTTGCTGCCAAGGGGATGAAAATTGGTTCATGCCAGGGTGAAAATATGTTCTTTTATGTGAACAGCACAGATGTGCTAAAAACAGCACTTCGTTTTGATTCAAAACCACTGTGAGTACTCCATGAAAACAAGGATCAGTCAACCCACCGTATCTACTTCTACATCCTGAGTGCCCAGCAGGTGTCTGGTACATAGTAGGCTCCATGGCTGGTTTTTCAAATAAATGAATGAAGAACAAAGGAGAACAGGGGTCAGAGGATCAGTGTTCTTAAGTTCCATTTGGAGATTTTTGAACTTTATTCTCTAGACCAAAAACCATCAATCTGGGTCCATAGGCTCATGGATAGAATTTGGTTAGTTTGGAAGTATGACTGGGGATGAATTGCATCTTTCCATTTCCACTCACACCCAGCTAGTATTTTGCATTTCCTTCAAGGATGAGTATAAGCAGTAAACCCCAGTTGGATTAGCAGGGCCTGTGACTTTGTTACCAGTGGGAATCACAGTTCTTTTCTTAACTGACTTAATCATTAAAGTTTCCTCCATATATCACTTCCTTCAAAATTATGTTTTTTAGACCTGCTGCCCAGTCTTGTTATTTAATACAGTGGTTGGCAAACCATGGTCTATGTGTCGAACTCAAAACCACACCTTGTTTTTGTTACTGAAACAAAGTCATGCCCATTCATTTACACATGGTTGGTCTATAGCTGTTTTCATACTACAGCTGCCAAAGTTGAGTAGTTGTGACAGACAGCATGTGACTCAAAAACACTAGAATATTTATTATTTGACCCTTTCCAGGAAAGGTTTGGTAACTCCTGATTTAAGGTGTCGATAAACATACATATTATGGATCCGAACTTTGGTTTTAAAAATATTTTGAAAAGTCTATTTCAATATAATTGATTTCCTTGGTAATCTTATATATTTTATTTTATGCATTTTAAAAACATTATTCTGTGTAGTCAGAAAGCTTCTTCAGACTGCTGAAGGTTAGCAAGTCCTGCTTGAGCTCCAGTGACTTATCAAAGGGATCAGGATAGAAATGACCTTTAAGATCATCCTAGTAAGAATATTCACCTTCTCCATCCTTTGCTGCCTCTTCTATGAGGACCTGCTGCATTCTAAATGGGCCACAATCAGTGTATGTGCCTTCTCACGCCTTCATGTCTGTTACCAAAGTTGTGCCAAGTCTCCCTGTAGGAACCTGGGTCCTGCCTAACCACCTTGGTGTCTTTGGCAGGGTCGTCTCTATGTGCAAATATTTTCAGGAGAGTGTGAAGAACCTGTCAGTTGATTATTACAACACGCTCCGCAGACACAACTATGTCACCCCCACCTCCTACCTTGAGCTGATTCTAACCTTCAAGACGCTCCTGAATATCAAGAGGCAGGAAGTGGACATGATGCGGAACCGCTACCTGACGGGCTTGCAGAAACTTGATTTTGCAGCTTCCCAAGTAAGCACTGCCAAAACAGAACAGGGACAGAGAGGTCCAGGACTCGGTGGATGTGGTGAGGCCCTTGTTAAGGCATAGAAATTACAAGGGCACTAAATAAAGGCAGGATCTGAGCCTGCATTTAGACAGCCCACCTCACTTGCCTTCTGATCCCACAGGATCCTGCCTTTATGAAAGATTTTAATATTTTGTTCCTTGTGGATTTTTCTGTACCAATTTTGATTTCTTAAAAGATTCCAATAAGGTATTATTTATCTGGAGGACTGAGTATTTTTAAAAAATATTTTTTAGTTGTCAATGGATCTTTATTTTATTTATTTATATGTAGTGCTGAGAATTGAACCCAATGTTTCACACATGCTAGGCAAGCGCTCTACCCCTGAGCCACAACCCCAGCCCCAGTACTGAGTATTTTTATGCTCCTTTAAGCTGTGCCTGGGGAAAGTACCTCACTTGTCCCATTCTTGTGGGGAACTGGATAAGGTAAGTGGGTAGGAGCTGAGCTTTGTGGGGTCAGACCTGGGCTCAAATTCCAGCTCTACAACTTACCACCTATTTCACCTCTTTGGGCTTCAGTTTCTTCTTCTATAAAAAAGGCCAGAATAACAATTTTTGTTGCATATGCTAACATGAGAATCAAATAAGCTGACAAAAGAACACTCCTTAGCAAAGTGCTTAGAGATGAGTTATGAACTGATTTTGAGCTTGGAGCCACTTAACAAACCATCTAAAATTAGAGCCATATTAAGAAGTGTATTTTTACCACCAGTAAAGAACTGAGGCAATGGGTTGATTGACAGTAGGTTGTCCTGTGCTGTGTACAACAAGCCCAAACACTCCAACAGAGGGATGGAAGACAACACCAGAGGTGGCCTCTGTTGCTCTGCTTCTAGAGTTACTGGGTCTTCTTGCTTTGTCCTCACAAGGTGGGAAGAGATAAATCTCATGTCTTTTTCTCTTTTTATAAGGTTATTTATCCCATCACAAGGTCCCCTCCTCCATGACATCATCTAACTAATTACCTCCAAAGCCTCACCAAATAGCCTTGATTTAGGGATTAGGCTTCAACATGTGAATGGCAGGGAGGCAGAGCATGTTCAGACCTCAGCACTGTTGGAAATCATAGCCTTAAAAGTGCCTTCTGCCAGGCATGATGTCACACGCCTGTAATCCCAGCAGTTTGGGAGGATGAGACAGGAGAATTGCGAGTCAACAGCAAGGCACTAAGCAGCTCAGTGAGACCCTGTCTCTAAATAAAATATAAAAAGGGACCGGGGATGTGGCTCAGTGGTTGAGTGCCCCTGAGTTCCATCCTTGGTACCCGCCCCCAAAAAGGGTGCCTTCTAGGGCTAGAGCTATAGCTCAATTGGTAGAGTGCTTTCCTTGCATGCACAAGGCCCTGGGTTCAATCCCTAGCACCCCTTATATGTGTACTTTCCTATATAGCTTTTAAAAAAGGTAGCTTTTATTTTAAAATTTCCTAATTTGTTTTTGTTCTATCTTTCCCCAACACTATAAAGAACAAGGGAAGAAACTGTTCCTTTAAAATTGGTTTAGTTTGCCATTGTATAACTAGCACCAAGCACGGAGCTTGATAACCCCAACACACAAATGAATTCAACAACTAAGTGTTAAAAAATCAAGGGGATCAACACCACCAACAAATGTGACCCATGACCATGTCCAAATCATTAGTCCATATTTTCTGCATCTGTTGGAGATGCAGTCAACTCTTGCCAACTTTGCCATTTTCTGCACTGACCCAGCTGACCCTGGATAACCTCCCACCCCTCTGTCCTTGCCAGGTGGCCGTCATGCAAGTGGAACTGACTGCCCTTCAACCTCAACTCATCCAAACCTCCGAGGAGACCGCTAAGATGATGGTGAAGATTGAAGAGGAGACTAGAAAAGCTGATGCCAAAAAGCTTCTGGTTCAGGCAGATGAGAAAGAGGCCAACGCTGCTGCTGCCGTTGCCCAGGGAATCAAGGTATGGAGAGCAGCAAAGAGAGCAGGGAGCCAGCCCTGCAGGATGTGCATGTCATATCCATCCTGCAGATGAGACCCGTGAGATTCAGGAAGAGTAGGCCACTCTCCTGCCTTCACACAGCTAATAATGAATTATGGCTTTCTCACACCTGGCTTTCTCCAAGAATCATTACCATTTTCCAAACATTCTCTGTCTCATTCAGAATCAAGGCCAAAAAAACACAACATGATCTTAGCTCTTCTGTTATTACTTTTCTCTCATTCCCTCTGCTTGGGCACACTGGCTAGTCCTCCTGACTATTCCTTATATAAATGTAAGGCACACTCCCACTCCAGGGCCTTTGCACTGGCTGTTCTACCCAAATGCTCCTCCTTTAGGCATCTAAATATCTCTTTCCTTCATCTCTGTCATGTCTTAGATGTGGGAACAGATATCTGTCAAATGACACTAGAAGACCCTATTGAAGGTGGTTCTTATACCAAAGTTCTGAGAAGGTCTTAGCCTACATTGAGATATTGGAAGAAAATCTGATTGACACTGATGTGGTGGTATGTATTTCTCAAAGCATTTTGGAGCACACAATTCCATTTGAGCATCACAAACATCTTTAGACTTAGAAATGACAGGTATCAATATCTGAGAGTTGATCCCACTGAGGTCAGGGGTGAAATGGCCCTCCAGAGCTGCAGAGCTACTTGGTGGGATTAGAATCTAAGGTTCATGGCACTGTCTTTAGGTCCCTATACTCTTTTCTTGGCACTTAGAGAAATTTTTCCACCATTCTTCAAACATGGGCTTCTTTAAGAAGTAGCCTGTGTCTGCCTTCTTACTTAAATAGGTCATGGGCATTTTCTCCAAAAGGACAGGCCTTCAAATTAGCTTTTCTCTAATGGTTTCTGAGACCTGGCCTCTGGCATATTTGAGGGGGTGATACCCTGGATTATGAAGGCTTACTCATGATTATAATGGCTTGGACAGAAGACAAATGGAAACCATAAAAATGGTGATGGTTACCATAATAAAGAGAATAATAACATACCCACCCCCAAAATACAGTGACTGTCAGGCACCAAGAACCATAATCTAGTGGGTAATGTGCCTTCTATAACCAAATAATTATAGCTAATGCTCATCAGCACTGTGGTGTTTTAGTGGGTATTTCTTCATTTAACAAGTATTTTTTGAACTCCTACTATGTGCTAGCACTTTTTTAGGTGGAAAGCTAGGAGTGAACACAATAGAGCAAGTTCTTTCATCATGGAGGTTATTTTCTCCCACCCTTAGTTCACGTGGCCTGCAATACCTGGTTCATCAGCCCTACAATGCAAGTAGCATCATTCCCAGTTTCCCAATGAGAAAATCACGATACAAGACTGAAGTTACATAGCTACCAAGTGACAGAATCAGCATTCAAACCCAGAGCTCTTTGACTCAAAGCCCAGGCATTTGACCCTTATTCCATTGCAAGCTGGCATCCCAGGACCCACATGGACACTGTAATGCACATAATATTTTATATTTATAGAAACAGTTATCAACTTTTAAAAATCAGGGCATTTCAAGCTGAGTACAGTGGTACATGCCTGTATCCCCAGCAACATGAGAGGCCAAGGCAGGAGGATTGCAAGTTCAAGGCCAGCCTCAGCAATTTAGCAAGACCCTCAGCAACTTAGAAAGTGTCAAAATAAAAATTTTTAAAAAAGACTAGGAATGTAGCTCAGTGGTAAAGCACCCCTGGATTAAATCCCCAGTACAAAAAAAAAATCAGGAGATTTCAAATAAAAATTTCAAATAATTAGCTTTTGCCTTTAAAACTCAGGCATTCTGGCAACATCAATCCTGCATTCCTGGGTTGCACCCATCAGCTGCATGGGGTACACACTGGTTTTTGTGTGTCACAGTCCACCAAAGCCCTGTTCAGCCCACTTTTCAGTCTCATGTCACCCGCCTGCCCCCTGAAGCTACGTGAACTTGCACCTCCTGGGCATTCTGTGTTAGATCAGGCACGTCAGGGTTCTACCTTTGCTCTGCCCCCTTTCCCAGCCTCACTTTCTTCATTTATAAAATGGGGGTACCAAGAGGAAAACAGGTAAAGTTGGTAGCAGGTGCCAGAGTTTAAGGTCCAGGTTAGCTTTTCTCCAAAGCCGACGTTCCTTGCCCTGTACCAAGTGTGACAAAGGTCCGCCTTTCACACACGTGGGGACCATGCAGAAGGGGAACCTCACACCCAGGATTCTGCTCCATAGATTCAGGTGAGGCAGCAGATTGCTGGAGTGGGAGAAGGTGAGCGATGACCCAGGATCCCCACCCACCTACACCTGGGCAGTAAACTGGCCGCTCAGGTTTTGTGGGAGGGGTGAGGTTGAACGCTGTGCCACGCCATCCCCACTCCTGGGAGTGACATCCTGAAGGTGACTCAGGAGGTGGAAGAAACACACAGGAAGAAGAAGGAAGAAACCTGTGTTTACCCTGCAGTTTGCTTGAGACTTGGTGTGGACCAGACTCCCTTCCTGAACCCCTCAGGGCAGTAGCCCTTCTTCCTGTGAGGATGCTAATATCCCTCCACTCACCTTGAACCCCTCCAAATGACATCACATGGCAGATGCACAATACGGTGCCTACTTTGTGCTAGAGACTCAACAGTACAGGTGGAGCTCACACGGGAAGACTGGGATACTGTAAGAGAAAGAGACTCCCAAACACTCAACACACAAGGGGAGCAGTTGGCTTAAAAGGGTCAGCTCTTCAGGAGCTAATGAATCATTCCTTCCCCTTTTAATGAGGATAAGGTGGCAGGGTTCCTGCAGACTGACTTCCTTTCATCAGGGTGCGCTGTGCTCATTGGACTAACAGCCCTGGTTTTCCTGGCATTGCCAAGACACAGGCCATTTTTAATTGTGAGGGTTTTCATCATACAAATGTTGCAACAACACATATGAAATGATTGCAAGTTTCAACTTCAATTAGCCCTCTCATCCCTGTCCACACACAGGCACAGTTTTATATCACAGAGGTCATCGTATAATTGCGATTTCCACCACGCTGTGTTTTCTTCACTTAACATCTTATCTCAAACATTTCCCCAAATGTTATATGGTCATCACAATGGCCATTTCGAGGTGGTGTATCACACATCAAGTGGCCATTCCCCTGTCGGGCATTCATTCCCTCTTGCCCTTTTGTTTTTTGTGTTTTGATGGTATCAAGTGGATTTCTCAACAGAGCTGTGTGTCAGAATCACCTTCAGAGTTTTAAAAATGCAGATGCCCGGACCCACCCCGCCTGAATGAATCAGAATCTCTGGGTGTGGAGCCTGACCGCAAGGATGTTCTAATGCTGCTCAGTGACTCCGAGGCACGGCCCATGCTGGGACTCACTATTACAGATAATTCCACAATGAGAGGCCCCTTTGAATAATTTGGCAAGCTTGCTTTCTTCAAAACTGAGCTGGAATCCAGGTCTTGTCCCTTAGGAAAAGGAATGGAGCTGCCCGGGCACAATGGGGGCATGAAGCATGCACAAGCCACGCATTGTCTGGCAACATTATAAAAAAAGCAACATGGAGCTATTGATGACGTGAAGCCTTGGGCACCTGGGATCCTTGAAATGTCCAAGTATCCAGAACTACCCCTGAGCCAACACCCTTGGCTGCCCCTGCCACCAAACAGTAGGGACCAACCTGTGTTCTTTTCCTCTTGCTTTCTAATCTGATGCATGTGCCAGGGATAAAGAGTGAGCAAGCTGGAGTTGCCCCAAACCTGGGCCATTGATGCCACTTGAAGCAGGACATTCCATAGTCCATTTTGATAGGACATCTGATGTGGCTGACTGGGTGTGGAGTTTCAATATGATGAAGCAAAATAAAACATTGCTTTATGTTTGTAGAGAAGCAGAAACCCTGAAACATTCTGCAACATACACACCAGTTTATGTATCATGCATGTGCACACACACATGTAAGAAGGTTTTGTGTATTTGCCTATCACAGTAGCCCTGAGGGATAGAAAGACTTCAACACATGCTTGCTTTAACTCGCCTAAGAATTGCCGTTCTCTGTGAAGTTTCACTTCCCCCCCTGGCTGTGTGATCACTCCTTGGACTTGGGGAACTAACAGAGTTCATGGAGTGGGGAGCCAAGATCCTGGCTCTGTGAGTAACCAGCTATGTGACCTTGGCTAACTCATTGTGCATCCTTGGATTTTTTTTAATTTTCATTTTTGATAGAATGTGATAATTGGGTTACTAACTAATCCATAAAGTCCCTTTCGGTTTTAAAATATTCTCATGTTAAGCTGGGTTTTTTTAAAAAAATGAGACATAATCCATATGGCTTATTAATATTCACCCTTTTAAATTGTGCAAGTCAGTGGTTTTTGGTACACTCACAAAGTTGTGCAACTCTCACCACTATCTAATTCTAGAACATTTTCATTACCCCATAAGACCCATTAGCAGTCACTCCCTATTGTACCCTCCTCTTCCCAACCCTGGGCAACCACTTACCTAATTTCTGCCTCTGTGGATTTGCCATTCTGCACATTTCATATAAATGGAATTGTATTAACAGGTGGCTCTTTGTGTCTGGCTTCTTTCATTTAGCAAGATGTTTACAAGGCTTATCCTTGTTCTAGCAGGCATCACTACTTCATTTTTTTAATGGCTGGATAATGCTCCATTGTGTTAACTGTGTATTTAAATTAGCAAATGATGAATAAAACATACACCACTTCGTTTTCCCTGACTTCAGCCCTATCTTTGCCCAGCTCTAATCCTTCTCCCCATCACTAACCCACCTTGCCTGAAACTCTGCCCTGTGCCCAGCTTCGCCCTAACCCTGGTTCCCACCAGCCCCATCTTGGACCCTCACCCCTTCCTGACTTCCACCCTCGGGTCTTGTTTCTTTCCTCAACTTGCTCCTGTCACTCACCTCTGAGGCTCATCTTTGACTCGATCTCCTCTCAACCTACACCCATTGATGGAGGGGAAACAACCACTTTGTACCTCTTGGGAACTTGTTAAAAATTAAATGCTTCATTTCTTTCTTTTTTTTTTTCAGAAACAGAATTGTAGATTTTGTTGACTAAGGAGATAAAAGGAAAGGATGTAGATTAGTTATACAATCCAATTAGTTTCAATTCCAACCAAAAGAATAGTGGCCATTAGCAAAATAACAGAATTAATAAGCATTCTGGACACATTCAATCTAAAAATATTCTAGTAGAGGTTTTCTTTTTCTTTTTCTGACTTTTTTTTTAAAGAATTTTAGTAACAGTTACTAAAATACAGCCAGATAGAAAGAATTGGTTCTCATGTTCTATAGCATGGATAGTTAACTACAATCTACAGTAATTTATTATATATTTAAAAATAACTGGAAGAATTTGAAATTTCCCCAACACATGGAAATGATAAATCTTTGAAGATATAGAAATGCTAATTGCCTTGATTTGAACAATGTTTAATTTTTTTTTTGAAGAACACATACACAGTGGATGCTCAAATGTGCAGGATAGCCAAACTCCAGCCCCAAGATGCCAGGCTCATGTTCCTGCTGCCTGCTGTGGTCAGAGCCACCCTTCAGTACAGTGTTCTGTGGGGAGGCCTTGTCCTAAAGGGCATCTGGCAGGAAGTGCCTCTCCCTGCCTACTATGCTTTCTCCAGGAGCAGAGCCCTGCCTCACCCCTGCATGCTACGCACTGGGCACCCATTCCTTTCATCCCTGTGCTCCACAGAACGAATGCGAGGGGGACCTGGCCGAGGCCATGCCAGCCCTTGAGGCCGCACTTGCTGCTCTCGACACCCTGAATCCTGCTGATATCTCGCTGGTGAAGTCGATGCAGAACCCACCTGGCCCTGTCAAGCTGGTCATGGAGAGCATCTGCGTCATGAAAGGGCTGAAGCCAGAGAGGAAGCCAGACCCCAGCGGCTCCGGTAACCCCCAGCCCAGCCCAGCCCAGCCCAGCCAGGCTGCTCTTCCCTGGCAGGAAGGATGCAAGTGTCCCTTCCCACCCCATCGGCCACAGGCCTCAGCTAGGACCACTGAGTTTTGGAAGAATTTAGAAAAGTGCCCGGATGTGTGTGTGTGTGTGTGTGTGTGTGTGTGTGTGTGTGTACCCAGAGATCCTATTGGTGTTTCTGTCGATCAGCTGGGAAAATGCAAGTATGGTGGTGGGGGCGGGGATATAGAATGAGCTTAGGCAAAGCCCCAGCCTGAAAATCATTACAAAAATGAATGTCAGGCAGACAGAAGTCCTGGTGTGGAGCAGACACAGGTGTGTGTGTGTGTGTGTGTGTGTGTGTGTGTTAGAGAGAGAGAGAGAGAACGAACATGAGCAGAGATAAAGAGAAAGACTGCAAGATTGGAGAAATACATGTAGAGAGACCCAGATACCAGGACACACTCAAAGATAAGATAGTGAACAGAGAGATAAGGGGGGGAAGAAATTAGGAGGGAGAAAGAGATAGGGAAACAGAAAGAGAGGTGGAAATGGAAAGACACACATACACCGTGAGACACAGAGGGGAGGGGGGGGAGGGAGGAATGTGGAGGAAGAAACAGATGGAAACAGAGATTAAGAGGCAGAAATGTAGCTGTCATGTATAAATTTTTAAAAAATAGGCAGAAATGTTGAGAGGAAGAAACAGAGACAGAGACACGTGGAGTCAAGGAGACAGAGAAAGAGAAAGAGTGGGAAGAAAAGAGGGAAAGAAAGAAGAGAGAGAAAGAAGACAAACACATATACCAAGAGACAGAGAGAGAGAGAAATTGGTGGTTTGGGATGGGGGAGGAGTAAGATAGAGATGGCAAGGAAAGGAAGGAGCAGGAGGGGCAGGAGGAGAACTCTCTCTATGAGGTCACTGAGCAGCAATATATAATAATAATAATAATAATTATTATTATTATTATTATTATTATAAATAAGTGAATATCTATTCTCCTTAAAATGTGAATTTGCTATAGGACCTTGTATTAAGACCAGTGCCTTAGAGAGCCAGATGGTGCGGTGGTGCCCACCTGTAATCCCAGTGACTTGTGGGAGGTGAGGATGGAGGATAGCAAGTTCAAGGCCAGCCTGGACAACTTAAGAAGACCCCATCTCAAAATAGAAAATAGGGCTTGATGTTGCTTGGTGGTAAAGTGCCCCAGGGTTCAATCCTCAGTACAAAAACAAAACAAAACAAACAAACAAACAAAAACAGTGCCTTAGAACTGAACAAGGACTCCTGTGCTGGAAACAGTCCTGCTATCCCTTCTTTGCTTCTGAAATGTCAGAAATTGCTGATCCCTCATTTAGGATCCTCAGTCTCCTGCTTCCCTATGCTTCCTATCTCCTCCTATCTGGCCGGTTTCAGACCAGCAACCATGTGAAAGTGGTTGAAGAATGGCCCAGCGGGGAGCAGACTTTCTTAAATAATTCTTTAGGGAAGCCAAAGAGACTCAAAAAGTCAGCCTGAACAAGGGTGAGCTCATCAATATGCCTGCATCCTGGCTATACTAGAATCACCTGAGGAGTTTGAAGAATGCTGAAGCCCCACCTCTAGAGGGATTTATTTTATTTGTCTGTCATGCAACTGGAGCATTAGTTCTTTTTATAAACTCCCTGGGTAGTTGGAAGGTGTGGCCAGGTTGATACCTTCTGAGACACAGAGTGTGGGCAGGTCATGGATGTCAGGTCTCACTCTGGATCATTGATGATCAACACAGAATCCATCAATAAAATCTAAGCAAATCATGAGTAATATACCTCAAAACTGTAGAATTTAGTGAGTATGTTGGCATGGAGCCACAGAACAGTTGAGTTAGCTTGAATTCAAATTTTGCACAGTGCAACCAAAAACCTTCATGGGAAATATCTGGCTGGTTGCTGTGCTTGCCCTTAGGAATGAACAAATCATAGTCATTATAATGTCTCAAAGTACAGCTTTTTTGGATGAACCCTAGATTGGTATCATGAGCTGAAAAGGCTCTTGCATTTCTTCTAACATGTCAAGAAAAAGAGCCCTGATTCAGGTTGGGATCTGAAACTCACTTGATTCATTGATAGCATGACAGGTGCTAAGGAGGATAAGGACATGGCTTCATTTCAGGACTGGCCATGGGTGGCCTCCTGCCCAGTTGTAAGCCTACAGGCTGCTTCCCCAAGACCATTGCCTCACACCATTCCTCACAAGGACTGACTGGGTTCCATCCACCTGCCTCCCAGACTTGGGAAAGAATATTCCAAATACATAACCAAAGGCTCTGGCGCCTGTCACTCTTTCCACCTCTCAATGGGATAGTGAGACAACACTTGACTCATATTTATTGATAGCTGACTATCAGGCCAAATTCTAGAAAACGAAAGAAGGAGCTTACACTTTGAGGGAGAGGCAGACAGTAGAGAGTAAACAAAAAATGGCTGAATGCAATAAATGCTGTCATGAGAACAGAGCTGCTAGCAGGATGAGGAAAGAAGACACTGGAGCAGGTGTGGGGGTGGACATCTGTAATCCAAGTGGCTCTGGAGGCTGAGGCAGGAGGATCACAAGTTCAAAGCCAACCTCAGAAACCTAGCAAGGCCCTAATCCACTTAGCAAGACCCTGTCTAAAAATAAAAAATAAAAAGGGCTGGGGATGTAGCAATGGTAAAGCATCCATGGGTTAAATTTCTAATACCAAATTAAAAAAAGAAAATGGTGGGGTGGGGGCACTGGGGGAGGTAGAAGGTGGGATCCCCCCTTGGAAGAAAAATCAAGGGAAACCTCTGGATGGAGGTAACTTTTAAATTGAAAACTTTGGTCTGGTCAGCCACTTATAGCCTAGGCAAAGGACTCATGGTAGTGAAGCACCTGGGGATCATAGAGGAATTGAAGGAAGGTGCTTTGTAGCCCAAGTCCAAGGAACAAAGCAGAGCTGATGTGGAGAAGGTCAGCTGAAGGGAGTGTGTTGCTCAGTGCTAGAGTGTGTCTAGCATGTGTGAGGCCCTGGGTTTGATCCCAGCACCACAAAGGTAAACAAATGAAACCGTGCTGGGCAAGTTTTGCACCAAGGGCTTGGTGCAAAACTTCACATCTCTAGAAAACAAAGAAGGAGCTTACACTTTGAGGGAGTTGCAGACAGTAGAGAGTAGAAGGCAAAATGCCATCAACAGTCTATCTCTGTTTCCTGTACCAAACAGGTAAGATGATAGAAGATTTCTGGGGAGTGTCAAAAAAGGTTCTTGGAGATCTGAAGTTCTTGGAGAGTCTCAAGACCTATGACAAAGACAATATCCCCCCATTGATCATGAAACGGATCCGGGAAAGATTTATTGATCACCCAGAATTCCAGCCAGCTGTCATTAAAAACGTGTCATCTGCCTGTGAGGGTCTGTGCAAGTGGGTGAGGGCCATGGAGGTGTACGATCGCGTGGCCAAGGTGGTGGCTCCCAAACGGGAGCGACTGAAGGAGGCGGAGGAGAAGCTGGACATACAGATGCAGAAGCTAAACCAGAAACGCGCAGAACTGAAGCTGGTGGAAGACCGTCTCCAGGCCCTGAACAACGAATTCGAAGAGATGAACACCAAGAAAAATGCGCTAGAGGAAAACATTGAAATCTGCTCCCAAAAGCTTATCAGGGCAGAGAAGTTAATCAGTGGTCTTGGTGGAGAGAAGGACAGATGGACAGAAGCTGCCCGGCGGCTGGGGATCCGCTATAATAATCTGACAGGGGACGTATTAGTGTCCTCTGGGACCGTGGCTTATCTGGGCGCCTTCACAGTGGATTATCGGGCCCAATGCCAAAAGGAGTGGTTGGCCGACTGTAAGGAGAGGGTTATCCCATGCTCCAGTGACTTCAGTCTCAGCAACACATTAGGGGATCCTGTCAAAATCCGTGCCTGGCAGATTGCTGGGCTTCCCATTGACTCCTTCTCCATTGACAATGGCATCATCGTGTCTAATTCTAGACGCTGGGCCTTGATGATCGACCCACAGGGTCAGGCCAATAAGTGGATCAAGAACATGGAGAAAGTGAATAAACTGTCTGTCATCAAGTTCTCAGATGCCACCTACGTAAGGACTTTGGAGAATGCTCTGCAGTTTGGCACCCCTGTCTTACTGGAAAACGTGGGAGAAGAGCTGGATGCCTTTATCGAACCCATCTTGCTCAAGGCGACCTTTAAGCAGCAGGGGGTAGAATACATGAGGCTGGGTGAAAACATCATCGAATACTCGAGGGATTTTAAGTTATACATCACCACCCGTCTGAGGAACCCACATTACCTCCCTGAAGTTGCTGTGAAAGTCTGTCTCCTCAACTTCATGATCACCCCCTTGGGTCTCCAGGACCAACTCCTCGGCATCGTGGCTGCCAAGGAGAAGCCAGAACTGGAAGAAAAAAAGAACATGTTAATTGTGGAAAGTGCCCAGAACAAGAGGCAGTTAAAAGAAATTGAAGATAAGATCTTAGAGGTCCTCTCCCTGTCTGAGGGCAATATCCTTGAGGACGAAACCGCCATCAAAGTTCTGTCCTCCTCCAAACTGCTCTCTGAAGAGATCTCTGAGAAGCAGGAAATAGCTTCCTCCACAGAAATGGAGATCGATGCAACTCGAATGGGCTACAAGCCCGTGGCTGTGCACTCTGCTACCATATTCTTCTGTATCTCTGACCTGGCCCACATCGAGCCCATGTACCAGTACTCGCTGACGTGGTTCATCAACCTCTACATGCATTCCCTGGCCCACAGTGCTAAGAGTGATGACCTGCAACAGCGTATCAATTACATCATTGAACATTTCACCCTGAGCATCTATAACAACGTGTGCCGCTCTCTGTTTGAGAAGGACAAGCTGCTCTTCTCCCTCCTGCTGACTGTAGGTATCTTGAAAGAGAAGAAAGAAATTAATGAGGAAATGTGGTACTTCCTTCTCACCGGTGGTGTTGCCCTAGACAACCCCTACCCCAACCCAGCTTCCGAATGGTTGTCTGAGAAGGCGTGGGCAGAAGTGGTTCGGGCATCCTTGCTACCCAAACTGAGAGGCCTGATGGTACATTTGGCACAAAATACGAAGGAGTGGAAGATGATCTATGACTCAGCCTGGCCCCATGAAGAGAGATTCCCTGGACCTTGGAAGTCCCTCCAAGGACTAGACAGGATGGTCATCCTCAGATGTTTGCGGCCTGACAAGATAGTCCCGGCCATTCGGGAGTTCATTTCTGATCACATGGGAAAGGTGTACATTGAAGCCCCTACATTTGATCTCCAGGGATCCTACAAGGATTCCAGTTGTTGTGCACCATTGATTTTCGTGTTGTCTCCAGGTGCAGACCCCATGGCAGGTAAGAACACAATATTATATGAGGAATCTCAAAAGCCCAGAATGTGTAGACGCTTGACAGGGGTGTGTCCTTGATAGCAGGGATCACAAACTTGCCTGGCTTAATTAAGGCCCAGCCAGTAACAGTCACCTTAGCCTGTTACCACCTCAGGGACTGAGATGAGTGAATATTTCATTTCCTGCCTAGAAGGGTAACACTAATCAGCACCCAGGGAATTGTGCCATCTGGGAAGATGAACCCAGAATCACCTTGATCATCTGATTTTTCATGAGAGACCTGAAATGTAGAAATGACCCATTTTAAAATCTTGGTAAGTCATGCAAATTTGATTTTCCTAAAAATGTTGCAAGGGCCAAGCCTAGGGCTAGATTCAGTCTGCTGACTGCTAATTGCTTATCTTTGTCTTAATATTCTCTGGCTTATTTAATTAAAATATTTTTGGATAATTAATACTGCATATAGTTTAAAAAAATCAAACAGCACAAAAGTATAGGACTATGGCTCTAGCAAGGGGATTTTGCCTCCTCAGGGAGGACATTTGCACAACACATGCAGACTTTTGTGTTGTTCCAACTGGAAGGAGAGATGCTACTAGCATCTAGAAGACAGAGACTGAGGGCGCTGCGTGACAGCCTGCAGTGCACAGGACAGTTCCTACAATAAAAGATGACCCCGTCTAGAACATCACTCTTGCCAAGGTCGAGAAAGCCCGTCATGGAGTGTAGGAACATCCTTCTTCTCACCCTCCCAGAAGTAACCACCCCTTACCCGATTTGTGTAACTTTCCAGAAATACACGATTCCAAGATTTCCAGACTATCTCGTGATACAGAAGGATGTGAGTCATTGACAGGAATAGAGTGGTTTTGGGTTCTCAGTGCTTTAGTTTTCTCTGTTGCTGAATGAAGAAAGAGTACAAGAAACACAAGTGACAGATTGACCCTCTCCTGTGAGAGCTGAGGAGTTTGGCTGTTACCCTCACCAGGTAGAAAGCCAGCAGCACCCTGCTGCCGGGAGGAGGGCAGAGGGGAGAGCTGAAACAAATAGGCTCCAGGTTCCTGGGAGCACCAAGGGATTATTGCCAGGGAGCAATCTCTGACCCTTTCAGACTCAGTTTGAATGACTTCAGAGGAAACCTCTTTGGCTCTGTGTCCCTCCTAGTGAAGCTTTCAGAGAGATCTCAATGCACACTAGACCAATTAAATTAAAATCTTGAGGGTGGAACCCTGGCATCGTGTTTTACAAAGCTTTTTAGGAAATTCTAGTGTCCAATCAATGATGGGAACCACTGACTTTAATGGTTTCAGCAGCCTTTGAAAATCATTACGAAGATCCATTATTTCATTAGAAGCTGTGAAATGGTGATATTTTAATTCTGTTCTTCCTTCCACATTCATTAGCTGAAACTCTTTTCCCTTGTCAACTCTTGGGTTTGCTCTGAATAGTCCAAACAGGATGGGCAGAAAGGATGCTTGGTTCTTTTTATTTACCAGCACTCATAATATTGAACTGACACCCTGGCAATCTCTGAAGTGAACAGTGATCCACTCTGGTTTTTCTATACCATTGTGAATGCATGGATTTTAACATATTCTATGTTTCAAATATGTTAGTGTTTGTTTCCACTGCTGTCATTTTCTTTTTATTCTCATATTATTCTATCTTTGGCTTGTGGAAGCACCTTCATATCTGCATACTTTTCACATAACCCTTGTAGTTATTTTTTAAGTTGTAAATGGACACAATACCTTCATTTTATTTATTTATTTATATGTGGTGCTGAGAATCAAATCCAGTGCCTCATATGTGCTAGGCAAGCACTCCACCACTGAGCTACAACCCCAGTACCCCCCAGTAGGTTGTGATTGCTTCCTTGCCTTCAACTTAACTGCCTCTATGAAAGACCTGTCTCCAATTACCGTCACATTTTGAGACACTGGAGATTAGAACTTCAGCTTATAAGTTTGGGAGGGACACCATTTACTTATCACAGAGAATCTATGGAATCTGATTGTTCTGTGTGCTGACTATCCCTCTTAGTAATGTACTTCCTCCTGTAGTTTGTGTCTTTTTAAGTGAGTCCACAATAATTAAAGTTGTGTTATTTTGTAGAAGTCTCAAATACTTTGGGTTTTAGGAGTGTCCCAACAGGACAACTTTCTCTATGCAAACATGGGTCCCCAGGGGTGTTGACATTCTGGATCAATTTCATGGAAAATTTCTCAGCTAGAGAATTTTCTACCAGAAGGTTTTGTGAATTCATACCCCTCATCTGCATGTGGTCTGAACTCAGTGTTTTGATTTCTCACCAGAGAATTGTTGCTTATATTTTTTCACCCAAGCTCCAAATCAGTGACAAACTTCCATAAGTTAGTAGACAGATTTCTGGTCTTCTTGAAGTACAGCCCTTTGAGGGGTGCACACTTACGTCTCAGTTCCAGCTTCCCATTTCTTAGGAGTTCAAAGCTTAAGTTTCCCATCCTGTCAAAACTTCACCCTCTAGATTGGCTAAATAAAACATGGTATTTTTCCAATGGCAAAAATACTTTTTCAAGACATAAAGCATAAAGACTTTAATCAAGTGTATAGGTCTTTCTTCTATGGTTTTTAAATTTGATGTCTTGCTATTCCAGAAAAGTAAAAAGCATAAGGTCTTTATATATATACTGATAGGAGAAAGAACTATAAGATACATCATTAAGTGAAACAAGCAAAATGTTCTGTAATCCATATAATTTAATGGTATGTGCATAAAATATCTCTGGAAGGATTCACAAATCTAATAACATTGGCTACCCCTGGGGAAGAGAGTCATGAAAAAGACTTAATCTCACTATGTAATTTCTTATATTTCCTACTAAAATTCATAAAAACACAGTTCCTATTTGTTTGGTGATATGCACACCTCCAGTTTTGAGTTTCCTCTTCATTTTTGGCACCTAACAATTTCCCTTTCTTTCGAGCCCTGATTTTTTTTTTTCAGTCTGTATACTTTTTACAGCAAGAATGTGTACACATTTAGAGCAAAAGCCTTCATCTGCCATCTTACTAGATTGTCTAAAGCTCTTTCAGAGAGATATTTATTTTGTAATTAATGGAAACCAATGAAAGCCAAGTGTGTTGGCACACACCTTAGTCTCGCTAGTGGGAGAGCTGAGGCAGGAGTATCATGGGTTGGAGGCCATCCTGGGCAAAATATTGAGACCCTCAAAAAAAAAAAAAAGTCAATGAGTTTCTTTGTGAATCCAAACTTTTAAATGTCCCCTTCCTTACTGGCAACATGGGCTTAACTGGCCTATCTTCTTTCAAACCCCCTGTTCTTCCTGGTCTCAGGCCTGCTGAAGTTTGCAGATGACCTTAGCATGGGAGGTCCCAAAACACAGACCATCTCCCTTGGCCAAGGCCAAGGTCCTATTGCTGCCAAAATGATAAACAACGCCATAAAAGAAGGGACCTGGGTGGTCTTACAGAACTGCCACCTGGCCACAAGCTGGATGCCTGCACTGGAGAAGATCTGTGAGGAGGTGATTGTTCCTGAGAGCACGCACGTGAGATTCAGGTGAGATGATGCGCTCCCCTTCCTGCCTGTCTTTGGGACCCAGCCTCAAGCTCCTGGTAGCATACTGGTGCCCGGGATACAAAGATGGAAAGACACATTCCTGCCCCTCAGAAGCTCAGTCTAGGGAAAGAACTCATGGATGAGTAACATGGAGACCATACAATAGTCGATCGAGAACCACGGAACACAGAAGAGGGCCAAGACAGCGGGGGAAGGTCTGGAGGACAGATGATTGCCTGGTTTTTGAAAGATGAGTAGGAGTTTTCCAGGAAGGAGATCCCAGTCCTAAGGGACAGCATTTATAAAAGCAAATAGGGAATATTAGGGAATACTGAGAGGTTAGCCAATGACTCTGAGGTGTATGTTATAAGAAGTTGTTATAAGAAGTTATTTGGGGAAGTGTCTAGGAAGTTAGATTAAATGCCATCAAGAGTGATTTTATTTTGAATATTATTGATCTAAAAAACATGCTACCTGTGGTCTAGGCACAATTTGCCATTCCTCTATCCTCTATTTTGGGGGCTTCATGGAATTTTAATCAACGTTGGAAACAGCGATTTGGTTTTTGTGAACTTTAAAGCCCAGCAAGTCTGAACTTCAGTTTTTCTATTCATGGGATGAAGAGTAGAACCAACTCAAAATGTTCAGGGAGTCTCTTTTCCAGATTCTAGGCTAGGCAGCCTGCTGCCTGTTTTTGATATGACCTGCAGTCTAATTTTTAAACAGGTGGGGGGGAGGAGCCTAAAGAATGATCTTTCATGACACATGAAAATTACGTGAAGTTCAAATTTCAGTGGGCATAAGTAAAGTCTTATTGAAAAACACCCCCAGTTAGTCATATAGTGTCTGTGTTTGCTTTTGTGCTATGAGTAGTTGAGACAGACACCGGGTGAGCCCACAAGATCTGAAATATTTACTCTTCTGTCCTCTGAGGGAAAAGTTTGCTGACCCCCTGCTTTAGGCAACCCGGCTTGCTGGTTGCTTTCATTTTGCTCATGTCTGCCTGAAAATAGGGAAGTGGTGCTTGTTTACAAAGTCACGTTAAACCCACCGTTGATTTACTACAGTCATGAAAGCTTTCAAAGGAAGGGGAGTCCATTAGTTTCATGAACGTTATATGGTTTGGGATGGTGTGTGGATTCGTGGGCCGTTGATGACATTTGATGAAGAAAAAATTAATCTTGTTGAGGTATTACTGCTTAATACTAATTGTTCTCATGCAGGAATACAGGCTTCTTGTGGTAGTAGTAGGTTTTCTGATTATTTAAAAAAGAAATTGCAGATCTAAAATTTTAAAAGAAAGCCCTAGTTTGTGAAAAGTGGGAAACGACTTCAAAACTGTGTTACAGCACTGTTGAATGTAAATGGTGTGAGCCAGACATTGCCCCTCTGTCAACTGAAGTCGGGACTTAAACCATGGTTTAGGACCCCTCCTCTAGTCTCCCAGCCCAGTGCCTTGACCACTGCCAGCTGCCCACCAAGCCTAACCACATCCCAGCTCCCTTCATTCACATGGTTGCTCAGCCTATGTCCTGTATCTCTAAAGACCACCCATCTGCAATTCAATTGTTGGCAATCTCTGTAATGTCTAGCAAACAAACAAATAAAAAACAGGATGCCATGGTGTATGGGTGATTTGAGCTTGGATAGGAAAACCAGATTAATCAAAGCCTGGAGAGCAATGTATACAAATATTAACCTACAGGAATAAAAATTACAAATTCTGTTTTCTTCCAAACATGTTTACATATATTCCCACTTTTTGTGGACATAAATTTAAAAATTGCATTTTAAAGAAAAAACTTTCCCATAGTTTCAGGGCCCCTTTTAAATACCATTTCCTATTTGATTTGGGTCAGCACACTTTTCCTCTAAAGAGTGAAACAGTAAATTATTTAGGCTTTGCAGGCCATGTTGTCTCTGTTGCAACTATAAATCTCTGAAGTTGTAGGGTAAAAGCAGGTATAGACAAGATGTAGATGAAGGGGCTTAGCCATGTCCCAGTGAAACTTCATTTACAAAAACAGGTGATAGAGCTGGGCAAAGTGGCGCATGCCTGTAATCCCAGCATCTGGGGAGGCTGAGGCAGGAGGATTGCAAATTCAAAGCCAGCCTAAGCAAAAGCAAGGCACTAAGCAACTCGGTGAGACCCTGTCTCTAAATAAAATACAAAATAGAACTGAGGATATGGCTCAGTGACAGAGTGCCCCTGAGTTCAATCCCTGGTACAAAAAAAGAAAAGAAAAAAAAAAGCCACGCAAAAACAGGTAATAGAGTAGATTTGAGGGTGCCTTGTATAGTACTTTAATCTAAAACTGATGCTCAAAGAGTCCAAGTAAAGGCCGGGTATGGTGGCACACGCCTGTAATCCCAGCAGCTTGGGAGGCTGAGGCAGGAGCATCATGAATTCTAAGCCAGCCTCAGCAAAGGCAAGGTGCTAATAAGCAACTCAGTGAAACCCTGTCTCTAAATAAAATACAAAATAGGGCTGGAGATGTGGCTCAGTGGTCAAGTGCCCCTGAGTTCAATCCCCAGTACCAAAAAAAAAAAAAAAAAAGTCCAATTAAGGGGCTTAAGAGCAGAGGCTTCGGGGTCAGAGAGTCCCAGGTGCACAGCAGCTACTTCTAAGCAGTGTGTCCTTGAAAGACCACCTGACTGCTCCATGCTTCTGTTTCCTCACTGATAACGGGATGGTAAATATCTCTCATTGGGTGGCTGTCAGGGTTGAAGGGGTTCAAAGGACACATATAAATTCTCACATGTGCTGGGCATCTAGAGGTGCTAATAAATGATAGCTGTTATCATTTGCTCTTTTTTTCAGTATAACTTACTGTACTGCTCTCAGTAGTTGAATCCATTGTTTTTCCAGACTCTGGTTAACCAGCTATCCATCAGAGAAGTTTCCAGTTAGCATTCTCCAGAATGGGATCAAAATGACCAATGAGCCCCCAAAAGGGCTTCGGGCCAACCTTTTGCGCTCCTACCTCAATGACCCCATCTCAGACCCCACTTTCTTCCAAAGCTGTACCAAGCCAGTCATGTGGCAAAAGCTGTTATTTGGCCTTTGCTTCTTCCACGCCATCGTTCAAGAGAGGAGGAACTTTGGACCCCTAGGTGAGCCATGGCAGTGCATCTGGGTTGCCCAGGGGAAGGGTCACAGGCAGATGAAGGTGTACTTACAGGTGGTGTTCAGCTTTGCACTCAGATGACCAGAAAAACCGTGTCTCTTCTGTGCAATAATTTGGACATATTTATACTCTTTTCTTATTTGTTATTTATCTGAAATTAAAATTTCACTCAGTGTCCTATATTTTTGCTAAACCTGGCAATCCAATAACTGCGTTAATGTCAATGTGAGGGAAAAAGGCATGCTCCAGAATCAGAAGCCGATACCTACTGAAGTAATATGATAACAGGAGGACTGCAGGCTCTTCACTTGGGCCTGTGTTTGTCTATCTTAGGCACAATGACCATTCTCCAGGAAGTTGTCACCAGATGACTTATAACATTTTAGATAGCTCTCTTTACATGTGCATGACAATGAGAGACAGGGATTCACCAGGGACATTTGTCTATGATTCTTCCCTAAAACTATTAACAAATGTGTTTATCAATGTAAACTACCTTTGGCGTAACTTACAAGTAATAAGTAATCTTGTTAGAGCAGATTGTCAAACTGCTATATACAAATCCCTTGTTGTGGTGTTCAAGTTGAATTTCAAGTTGAATTACCTTTCTCTCATCCATGGCCTGCCTTTGACTCTATTCACTAGCCATGAAATGACCTACCACAGGGTATTCCCCACAGTCCTTTTGGGTTAGATAAGGAGACAAATTGTCCTAATGGTGATTTTCTCAGAGCATCCACTTCCTATTCTTCAACCCCTGCACTCTGGCCAGCCCCAGTTAGCTCCACATGGCACATGACTCTTCTAGGGAGGGTGGAGGGTGAAGGAAGCTCCCTCTGCATCTAATGTCAGCCATTACCTTCTCCCACCACCTCTTTTCATGCCAGGCCTCTAGAAATCCATGCAATAGTTTGGCTCAGAACCAACTGCCCCAATGTGCTTTGTTTGCCAGAACATGAATTTTATTATCTTGTTATGTTTTAATTTGAATGTGAATTTTTAGGAGGAAATTAAACTCCTTGGTTAGGCACAGGGCCCACTACACCCTGCTGGCATACACCAGGCCCTGTGCATACATTTATGTCATCATCTAGTCCCAATGGGTGTTATCATTGACCCTTGGAAATGCAAGTGGCAGTTTCTTTAACCATCCAGTTCTCCCAGAAGCTCAAGGAAGGGACATCTCAAAGCCAATTTCATTCTGTTGTGAAGTCATCGCTACTGCTTTCAGCTACACTTTGGTGTTATTTTTGGAGCTCTGTGAATTACCGCAGCCAGGCTGAATAATTCTCATTCCACAAATCCCAGGATGTTAACATCTTCCTTAACAAAGAGGGAGACCCATAAGGAAATTGATTTTAGAATGGATGTTTTCTCTGGCAGAATGGCTCCCACGTTGGCAATAAATGTCAAGGCTAATAGTTGGCCCAGGGCTGGATATTCATAGGGCCGAAAAGGCTCTTGATCCATAATGGTGCTTAACTCCACTGGCTCAGTCTCTGAGTGGAAATTAAGAGCTCTCAGCACTGAAGCCTCTAATTCTTCTCTGCCTCTTGCAGGTTGGAATATTCCTTATGAATTCAACGAATCTGACCTCAGGATCAGTATGCGGCAGATCCAGATGTTTCTCAATGACTACAAGGAGGTGCCATTTGAAGCTCTGACCTACCTGACAGGTATTTGTGGGAGGGGCTCTGCTGCTGTAAACCTCCAGAACCATATTTACCCTCTTGCCCTTTGCTCCTGTCTCCATTGACTTATTCAACCCCTCCCTCATTCATTCATTCGACCAGCATTGAACTCTTCCTAATGTTGGTCATCATTCTCGATATAGTAAAAAACAGGAACCAGAAAAATCTCTATGGCCAATCTACAAGCTACAAAGGTAGAAATTATAAACAAATTAATGATAATACAGTGATAAGTTCTGTAAGAAAAACATTTGTAAGGCAGAAAGGCATCCCAATTTGATGAAATCTCAGGGGACTGGAGGCGGGTAATCGTGGAAATTTTTCTGAAAGTTTTAAGAGTTGGGTTTCAAAGGATGAGCAGGAATTTGACAAGCGGAAGAAGAAAGGGGAATGGGAAGAAGGAAAGCTTTTCCTGCAGAGGAGTCCTGAGGTGGGCACCCTCCTAGATAGCTTGTATTAAAGCCATTCATCAGTACCAGGGATTGAGCTCAGGAGTGCTCAACCACTGAGTTACATCCCCAGCCTGATTTTATATTTTATTTAGAGACAGGGTCTCACTGAGTTGTTTAGCATCTGGCTGCTGCTGAGGCTGGCTTTGAACTCATGATCCTCCTGCCTCAGCCTCATGAGCACTGGGATTACAGATGTAATTTGTAATCTGCTCGGCATCAGCAACCTTTTACTAGGCACCCAATACATACTAGTATATGATACAAAAGAATGCAGAGGCATAAGAAAAGTTGGTGGCTACTTTCAAGGAATATGCAATATAACCCCAGATATAGGAGATAAAATAGAGGTGAAATACCATGGCCACACATCAAAATTCAGCTTTATAGGAAGACTTGGGCATCTCAAGATCACACACAATTCCCCTTCAGGTCCATGTGTTAAGTTTGTCTGGTTTTTCCCCAAGCAATGACACGCACTTTACACATTTTGAGTATTCACAGCAATCTTATAAACTTCACGTCAGTAACCCCATTTTACAGCTGAGTGGGGGACAGGCTTTAGAGCAGTTGTTCTGAACTGTAGTCAGCTTTTCCTCTCGGGGACGCTTGGCAGCATCTGGACATGTTTTGATTGTCACAACTAAAGAGAGGGTGCTACTGGCATCTTCTGGGTGGTGGCCAGGGATGCTGCTAAACATTCTGCAACACAGAGCACAGCCCTCCCCCCAAACACAGAACTCACTAATCCAACATGCTACTAGTGCCGAGTTTGAAAAACCTACATGAGATTATGTTCAGTCATAGAAGGCCATGCTGACCTTAACCAGTACAGTGTCCCCTAAAACAAACCCCCATGTGACACAAGCGGCACAAGTACAGCGGATCTTAGTTTGATAGAAGAGCTTCTTCAAAGTTGGTCATGTTTCCATTATTCTGTGCCACACAGAAGCATGGCATGGACCAACGGTTCCGTCGGACCATAGAATAAGTGCACTATTGTCCTAGAATGCGGTCTTAGTGGAGGACCACATGCAGGGTACAAACCAACATGCCCTGCCTATGCCAGCCAGCTTGAGGGTAGTCCACTTCCAATAGTGCCACTCAGGATAGGCCACTTGGGCTGAGGCAACAATCCCCAAAGCTCAAAGGCAAAGACATCAAAGGTCCATTTCTTGCCCACTCTACATGTCCAGTGCAAATCGACAATGGTTTCTGCTCATTATAATTACCTATTTATAGGTAATTTATATACTCCACTGATTTTTATTGCTGCCATCTTGACAAATACTTCAACAGAGATAGCACTGAAGGGCTCACACTGGCAATTAAATGTATAAGAATGTGTCACTTGGCCCTACTCTACTCTTAGGGACCCAGGAAATAAGAACCAGATGTAGGTGATCATTAGAGTTCTCCACCAACACCAACCAGAGTCAGGTCTTTTCTAGAAAGGTGGTCAAATCAGAGGGGCCAAAGTCACCCATTCTTAATCTGGTATACATCCCTGCAACAGGGACAATTTAGAAGATATCTAAGGTCCATCTTGGCCTCTCTCAGAACTTTTGTTCTTGCTACAAAAAGAAGACAGGTATGTAGATATAAAGTAATGAACATTCCTTCATAAACATAAAATGATCCTGCAGGGGTATCCCCTGAAGAAAATTCACAATGAAGAAGTGGTGGTGGGACCTCATGTCACAACTCTGGGTGCCCTTGAACACTGCCACACTGATTTCATCAGGAAGAAAACCACTCTCCCTTTGTTGCTGTAGTTCAAGTGTGTTGTAAACCTACTCAGCACTGAAACAAGCTGCCATGTTCAAACTGACCCTGCTGTAGGCCTGGAGACATCAACAGGGCTGCGGACAGCTAGATTAGCTGGCTTAAGGTAAAACAGCTTCTGTATGGGCTTCCTCCTGTCCCTCACATCTCCCTTAACTAGCCACCCAGACCCCACTATCTGCACACCACACCCCTCCAAGTCAGGGCCAAGAGAATCTGAAGCCTCTCTCCTGTCTGCAAACCTATCTTTTCCTAAAACAGTTGAATTTGAGAATGAGCCCACCCTCCAGGGTGTCCTTGTATGCATACATATATACATGTCTTCTCCTTTTAACCTAGTTTGTTAACCCCAACTACCAAATACCAGGTAACACCACATACTGCAGTACTATGGTATCTAGGCAAGCTAGAAAATGCATCTTGGGGTTGGTGAACTGGATTTGATGTCCCCTCCAAAGAATCACCTAATTCTTTTTATCTCTACTTTTTGTCAACAGGAAACTATTGTTATGTGCTAGAGATGTAGACTGTCTCATTCCAAATTCCTTGTACTAAGCCCAATTTTTGTAATGCCTTTCACATAGATGTATACAGATATGTGTGTGGGGGGGGAGTTTGGAAGATGCCTCATTAATAGTTATCTTTGGTGGAATTTTTGCTGATTGTATTTTATTTTTGTCTTTATTTTCTAAGAAATTTTTAATATGGAGAATATTGTTTTCATAGCAACCATAGTACCAAAATGGCCTTCTCATCCTGAGCTGAACATGGCATCAGCTGCACTGTGTTTCCAATAGGGTTTCTTGGCCAGTAAGATCCTCTGTTTAATCCTCTGTCACATCCTCTGACCAAGCTCATGATGGCCTTCCCTGGGCTCAACTTCTTCACCTGTTGGTTTTCCCAGGAGAATGTAATTATGGAGGTAGAGTGACAGATGACAAAGACAGGCGTCTCCTGCTGTCCCTACTGTCCACGTTCTACTGTAAGGAAGTTGAGGAGGACCATTATTTCCTTGCTCCTGGAAAGACTTACTACATCCCTCCCCATGGCCCCTACCAGGTAAGAATGACCCACCTCTTTCCCCAAAGGGACTCAGTAGTCTCTATATTATGACTAGGCTACAGTAGTGGCCTTGGGCTTCCTTACTTGGATCCATAAGCTGTTTCCAATATTCCAGATGCTTTCAAGAAAGATGTTGTCACTGTTTAACAAATGCTAGGTATTTGGTAGACAAGGTCCTTCAAAGTATGGCATCCGTCTGCCATACTTTGGTGAGGGGAAGAGAAGGATGAGAAAATGAAGCTTTGGTTGTGAACCTGCTGTTAATTGCTGCTTATAAACAAGGTTCAGAAGGTGGTAAAGGGTGGGCACAGGAGAATGAAATAGGTAAGATGAGAACAAGATATCTGGATGAAGGATGAAGAGGAGTACTTCTATCAGTTGCCTGTCATATGCCCAAGCTGCCTTTCTTTATAACCTTTTGTCTTCCCATTTACAAATAAGGAAATTTGGGATTCAGATGATGGACTACAGTTGCACAGTTAGTGTGAGCTATAGCTAGGCTCTGAACCCTGTGCTCTATAACTTTAAAATCAGGACTACATGGGGAACAGAGAGGAATTTGGGGTTTGGAGGGAAGCTCTTCTTTGCCCATGTGCTTTCATACTTGTACCAGAAAACTGTATGAAGAAGAGCTTATGATGTATTTCCCCAGCCTTGGGTTGGGGGGCAAATTCCTGACACAGTGAGCCTCCTGTTCCAGTTGGCCCAGCCAAGCCCTGAGTCATTCATGAGACTGCGTTTTTGTCAACTCAAGATTTCTTTTCCAGTCCTACATCAGCTATATCAGGACCCTCCCCATCACAGCCTACCCAGAAGTATTTGGCCTCCATGATAACGCGGACATCACCAAGGACAATCAGGAAACCAATCAGCTCTTTCAAGGGGTGCTGTTGACCCTCCCTAGACAGTCAGGAGGGAGTGGAAAGTCCCCTCAGGTAACTGCTCAGGAAGAGACGTGATTCAGTCTCCCAGGCTGTTGACCAAGAAGACATAAAAAGAGGGACCTGGCAGACCCCTGAGGGAGGGGGTGTGCTCTGCTCTTACTGTGGAGGATCTTTAAATACAGAGCTGAAAGAGGATCAGGTTTTCCAAAACGTCAACTATTCCTATATAACCTTCATGATTTTTTTTTCTGTATCTACGTATCACCTATCCACAGTTTATGTAATATTTTAAACCTAATTTTCTTTTGCTTAAAAACATTTATTTGAAAACCTGTACATCAGAGCCATGAGTGGAAACCTAGTATAATTTCTTTAAAGTTATGATCCACATGGAAGGAAGGGAGAGGAGAGAAGAGGAGGAGGAAGAGAAGAAGGGAAGGGGCGGGGGAAGGGGAAAGGGAGGAAGGTAGGTATGGAAGCTCGACAGTTAAGTTCTTCCCAGATGCTATGGACGCCCAAAGCCCTGGAGCTGAGCCCTTTCTGGCTTCTCGTTAAAACAGGGAAGATGAGCAAGAGTTCCTGAATTGCTAAATTAGCACCAATCCAAGGCTTTCTACTTGAGAGGAATGAAAAGGGAAAGATGATTAAAATTTGCAAAGGGAGTGATTTTTATAATCATGTAATTCAACATTATTTAATGTCGTGGACACACCTAAAATCACTCTGGGTACTTCTATTGGTCCCAGCACAGACTTTGTGAAGTACTCACCCACTCTGTAAGTGAACCCTGAGAGAGGAAGTGTCTGGCTCCAGGTCCTTTGTAAAATCAGAGACAGAACCAGGTCCAGAACTGGAGCCACCTCCATTCTCTTTCTCTCCCACTCTGCCCTTCCCTTCTCTGCCTTCCAAACTGCCACATGTTCAGCCCCTCTCAGCTGGGAACCTCACTCATTGGGTTTTGTGATGGGGTTTGTGGTGCCATAAGTGGCACTGGCATGAGGGCAAACCAGACTTGTTGATGTGGCCCAACATAGAGGTGGTGAGTCCCTGTAGTAAGAAGAGGGAAAGAAGTCACATTCCAGCCTCCCAGACCCAGGGGGTGGCAGAATTGCAGCTCTTCCACATCCAGTCTTTAACTTCTCTTTGGTCTTCCAAGCCTCTACCCTTCCCTACTTGGCTAAGCCCTGGGCTTTTGTTTCTCAATGCTGAGTAATGACTTTCTGCCTTCCCAAGTGTCACTGGGATTGAGAAACAGCCCATCTGTACCAGCTGGTCCTTAGGAGCTGGCTGAGAGTGCTGTGGGAAATTCTCACCCAGGGGTGACCTTGAAGACGAGGGTGTTTTTTGAGTGTTCATTGCTGTGGGAGGTGACCTGGCTGAGCAGGAATTCCCTGCCTGGTCCTCAGGCCCTTACTCGAGGTATGAGAACAAACAGCTCATGGTTCAGCATTTTCACTTTTTAGGCAAAGGGGTGGTGTGTATCATCCCAAGTCTAATAGGATAATGAGTGCCCACCTTACCCCCAAAGGCAGAATTGGTTTCTAAAGGGGAGTTTCCAGGAAGGTTGGACAGAATATATTTAAAAAGGAAAAATGCTCATTACATCAATTTTAAGCTGATAAAGCCACAGTCAGCAGATCTTATTTCTCATCTACACCTCTGTTCTCTGCACTTTAAGGAAGTGGTTGAGGAACTGGCCCAGGACATACTCTCCAAGCTTCCCAAAGACTTTGACCTGGAAGAGGTGGTGAAGTTGTATCCTGTGGTCTATGAGGAATCCATGAACACTGTCCTGAGGCAGGAGCTCATCAGATTCAACAGGTGGGTCAGAGGGTCTTGTCGGATCCTGGGAGTTGGAGCATGAAGTAGGATCTAATGAGCAGCAGCTGAGATTGACACTCAATAAGGGGCTGCTATATAAACATGGTTGCCCCACCCATAGGACCATCCCCAGTGTGCTTTGGCCTAGGGTTAAATCACTCCTATTTATTCTCTCCCACTCATTCATGTGACATCTATAGTCAAGTTCAAACTGAAACCAAGCACAGGCTAATAATAAAAGCAATCATCAGAGCTACGTTTTTGAGCCCCTGGTGCCTGATATGGTTCCAAGCACTATGCGTGGTTCCCATTCAAGTCACACACAATCTTTGGAATGTGCAGTTACTAATCCTGTACCAGTATTTTACAGATGAGAAAATGCACCTTGGCATGATAGTCTGTAGCCCTCATTTGTGCATTCTGACACCAGACCTGATGGCCACCCTCCTCTACTACTCAGTCTCCCATAAGGTCACTGGAGCACTTCTTTACTAATGGCCATTGTAACGTAAGATTGAAATTCAGAAGAGTTAAGTAGCTTACCCAAGATCACACAGGCATTCCATGTCAGAACTGAATTTGAACCCAGGTTGTCTGATTTCAGAGCCAGTGCACTCAACCAATATTGCAAAATCAGGGTAAGTAAAATCCCATTGCCTCCTCTACAAAGTTGAGGTATTATGGGCTGGCCATGAGGCCAAGGGTCTCTGTCCTTTTCTAATCCCATCTCATTTTTCTTCTAGCTACTCTAGTACAAATCCCAGTGAGTCATCTCAATTTGACTTCTAAACATTCAAAACAAAAGGGTTATCAAAGACCTTGTAGGCCAGAAAAGGAAACTGAGGCCCAGACATGCCAGTGTTTGATATAAGTCTCAACCAATTCAGAACTATGTGGGCTAAAACACATCACCTGTACCTCCAAGGTCCTTCTTGTTCCACACTCTGTGTTGCTATCTCCATTTTGCCTCACAGGGCCATAGCTCAGTTTTAGAGACAGTCTTGGCTCTAGAGGACTAGGGTCCTGGAGAAATGTCATCTGAGAACTTCCTGGTTGGTGTAATCTTAGGGTTAGTCTCTAGAGTCAATAGGCAGTTGGCCACATAGGGGACCAAGCAAGGTATGGGATATATACCCAGGAGGAATATGCTCAGCACTTCTGCTGTGAGTCAGATGCTTAGGCACAGTAGGCTGCAGTCTTTGTTGGCCCAATCAGGTCTGATGGCTTCCCTCCTCCGCAACTACCCATTCTCCCCTAAGGCCATTGGAGCTGGTTCTTGGTGATTGCAGGGGCCATCACCAGACTTTACCACTGGCCATTGTGTGCAAGAGGACAGGGTCACAGCAGTCTTCACCTTCAGCAATACTCTACCATCCCACCTCACTACCTGTTTTTGCCTGCTCTCTTAGTGGCATGGGAAATCCAAACTATGAGGTAACAGAACAGCTTCCAGCCCAGGGGGCCATTATTTTGTCTTCTGGCACAAGTGTTCTTAAGCACTAAAACTTCTAAACTGGTAGAGTTCACAGTTATTAGAATAGGCCTTGAAGGATACAGTGATCCGTGGTGTGACCCATCAGGTGGTAGTTGTGCTCCTTGACCCCTCAGCCTACCCAAGCACCAAGTGTCTGAACCTTTGATTCCTCCTGACATAATGCTCAGTGGCCGCACAGCCAAAAGGCCCTTTTTGACATTTGATCATTCTTTTGCCCATTGGGTTGAGATTGGATGAATCTTTGAACATGACAGGTTCCTTCCAGTGGTGGATTCTTTGGCATCCTCAGCCGAATTTCCAGTGGGTTGGGCTGAGCCTCAGAACACAGAGACCAGAAAGAGAGGCAGGTGATTTGGTATTTGCAGATTGCCCTTCACTTGCTTTTTCTCAAGTGTGTACCTCATAATCTATAAAGAAAACGATGATGGCACTGAGGATCTAAAGCCCTGAAACTGCATGTACCCTTTGACCCCAAAATTCTTTTACTAAGAAAATAATTAGAAATTTGCACAAAGATGGATATGCAGGGATTTTCCTTGCAATGTTGTTTACAATGACAATAGTCTAGAAATAATAATGATAGGGGAATAAATAAAATGGAACACTTTGTAGTCAAAAGAAAGGACAATTTAGGTCTCTTATTTTATTGAATTGAAAAGATTTCTCTAAGAAAAGATTACAAAAAGGTGATAATGGGGCTGGACACAGTGGTGCACGCCTGTAATCCCAGCAGCTCAGGAGGCGGAGGCAGGAAGATCTCAAGTTCAAAGCCAGCCCCAGCAAAAAGTGAGGCCCTAAGCAACTCAGTGAGACCCTGTCTCTAAATAAAATACAAAATAGGGCTGGGGATGGGGCTCAATGGTTGAGTACCTCTGAGTTCAATCTCCAGTAGCCCCCCCCCAAAAAACAAGGTGATATGGGAGGAACCCATTAAAAATGATTTGTGATTATATAGAAAAAAAATCTTAAAAGATGTATATTGAAGTTATCTTTAGGTGGTGAGGTCATGGGAGGTTTATTTTTTTCCATCAATTAAGGATTGTATGTTCATTGACTTTTTAAAGGCAAGAAAGCTGGAATTAGTGAAGTTGGCTAGAATGGGACCACTGGAAACCCAGGCTCAGCCATATCTTTTGTTCTTACAGACTGACCAAAGTGGTTCGCAGAAGCCTCATTGATCTTGGCCGAGCCATCAAAGGGCAGGTCCTGATGTCCTCGGAGCTGGAGGAAGTCTTTAATAGCATGCTCGTGGGTAAAGTGCCAGCCATGTGGGCTGCCAAGTCCTACCCATCGCTGAAGCCCTTGGGGGGCTACGTGGCTGACTTGCTGGCCCGCCTGGCCTTCTTTCAGGTACCTGGGAGTCAGAGTAACTAGGTACCTGGCATGCTTGTTCAGGTGGACAGGATCTTCTGAAATAGCAGCTCAGAGGTAGGGGAGTAAGGCAGGCAGCCATGCAATACCCCAGGCTGAGCATCCAGAAATGTTCTTTCCAGATCTGGAAGCAGGAACAGGGACTAGAATAAATATCATCAACAGGTGGCTCATGGGACAGATTTGGCTAATGGATACACTTGTTATGGCTACCTGGTCATTTAAAATTTTTGAGTTAGCATGTGAACTTGGATTTTTTCACATAAGAACTCAAACGTAGGGGCTGCAGGGTGTAGCTCTGTGGTAGCATATGAGAGACTCTGAGTTCAGATTCCACTGCTAGAAAAAAATATATAGATGTTTGTACTACAAAAGACAGAAGACCTGAAACAACGTGCCTGTGTTCATACCTGGCAACTCTCACAGGAGCTGAGCAACTTTTGCTTAGTCAGACAAGACACATACCCCCCCGCTAAGCTCCCCATCACTCTGTATTGTGTCCCTAACAGCAGCTTGCACCTGTGCTTTTCTTTAAAAAACAAACAAACAAACATATGTTTCCAACATATTTCTTTGTATCTTCGTTTCAAAAGTGAGAAAATATAAATTAAACCGAGGACCGACAATTTAAGGAAAATGAGAATTAGAATATTTCTTTGTGGGACTCATTTGCTGTTCTCTGCCTTGGAACTATCTTTGATGTGTTGTTGATTTTACAGGAATGGATTGACAAGGGGCCCCCTGTGGTCTTTTGGATTTCTGGATTCTACTTCACACAGTCTTTTTTGACCGGTGTTTCTCAGAATTATGCCCGGAAATACACCATCCCTATTGACCACATTGGATTTGAGTTTGAGGTAAGGGCACTCTGGGTGAGGACCTCCCAAGCGACCAGCCAGAGAAAGCAACATTGCCTAATTTCCTTGTAAATCCAAACATTGGGCATGTTAAGGCCCAAATGCCTCTGAGATGCAAATGAAATGCTTAGCATGACTTACAGTAACTCCAAAAGCTATTCTCTACGAAATGGGGGACTCCCAGGGCTTTGTCTCTATGTGTATAAAAAGGAATCTTTTCTGAGAAAACTTCTGTCACCATGGTGCCAAGAAATATGAAAGCATCCTTCCATGCAGCCTGTTCAACATGGTGGACTCTTTATTTGGAGAAATGTTAATACCCTTGGGAATGTTAGTACCCTGTTTTCTTCCTTAGAAATGGGGGAAAAAAGCCAGGCTTGGTGGTGCAGGCCTGTAATCTCAGCAAATTGGGAGGCTGATGCAGGAGGATCACAAGTGTAAAGCCAGCATCATCAACTTAGCAAGACACTGTCTCAAAGGCTGGGACTGTATGTAGCTCAGTGGTTGAGTGGTCATAGCTTCAAGCCCCAGTACCAAAAAAAAAAAAAATGGTGGGGGAAAACATTCCATTCATAATGAAAAAAATTAGAATATTAAATGGAGCTTGTGTTCTCTGGTTCACTGTAATCCCCACCACTCCCTATTATCCTACACTTGGACCATTTTCTGTTTACCTGCTGAAGGAATTTGAGTTTACCACTTCTTAATCTAAACAGTGGTATGCTGGAGCTCATTCATACCAACTTACCAGAGCCAGTTACTACATTCTCAGGGATTCTGTGAGCCAGCTTAGTTGGTAGCCTGAAGCCAACCATGGTGGGAGTCTGTATACCACAAAAACTGACAAAAAACTATAAATTCATTTATCCACCCCCATCCCAGAACTGTTTTACCAGCCTGCCTCTGAGTCAGACGCTAACCCTTCACTTCATAGATCTATGTCCAAAAAGGAAAAGGATTGTGGAAGGTTACTAAGCTACAGTTAATGTGGCCTTCTGACTCCTCCTTGAGCACATTCTCTATGCTTAGAATATACAAGGACAGCAAGCCTAACCAGGATCAGACCTGGCTCCCATAAGGCTGGCAGAAATATCACAGAAGCCCTGTTGTCCTTCAGTGTGCTTCCTGGCAGATGCAGGGATTACAGCCAGGTTGTTCTTATTGCTACCTCACATAGGAAAATGGCAGGTTATGGAACTCACAGCTTTCCACTCTTCCAGGTAACGGCACAAGAAACAACCATGGAGAGGAACCCAGAAGATGGGGCCTACATAAAAGGACTTTACCTAGAAGGTGCCCGTTGGGACAGGATAGGGATGCAGATTGCAGAGTCTTTCCCCAAAATCCTTTATGACCCATTGCCCATCATTTGGCTGAAACCAGGGGAGAGTTCAACATTTCTGCATCAGAACATTTATGTGTGTCCAGTCTACAAAACAAGTGCTCGGGGAGGTACCCTCTCCACCACAGGCCACTCCACCAACTACGTCCTCTCCATTGAGCTCCCAACAGACATGCCCCAGAAGCACTGGATAAACCGAGGGGTAGCCTCGCTGTGTCAGCTGGATAACTGATGGCATTTATCTCAAGGCACAAAGTAAAAGCCATTTTATTCTCTACTAAAAGCCATTTTATTCTTGAGAGACATTAGATGATGATGATGATCGTGGTGGTGGTGATGATAACAATGATCATAGAGCTGAGCCAGATATTTCACAGCAGCCCTATATGGCAGGGCTTACTTTATGGCCACAGAAACCATGATATGGAAAAGGTAGATGGTATCCCCCAGATCAGAGCCACTAAAGTAGAATTAAAACACAGACAGTGGAATTCTTCTACCTAGACTTTTGGTCATATGACTTAAGTTCTCTCGTAATTATTTTTTATTTGAATCACTTCTTTCCTAGTCTATCTATAGGGCTACCATCAATGCCCCTTAGGGGCTTGGAATACTCTTATTTGCTAAGGCTCTTGATAGATTTAAAATGCATATATCCTGCAATGATCTTAGGTGGTGGCTATTATCTATTTTATAGACAGAGTTCCATAGTCAGTCAGTGGTAGAACTAGGACCCAGCTGCTTCCCGACTAGCCCATGCAGATGAACTAAAGCTTCAGGAAGAAAGGAGAGATGAGAGAACCATATTTGTTGCACACCTACTGGGTACCAAGATTTGTGCCCAGGCCTCAGACTTGATCCTGTAGGCTGGGCATGACTGACTCTCCCTCTGGAGGTTCAGGGGAATTTAGTAAGTTGCTTGAGATCATCCAGGTTTTTCATACTTGCAGACCAGGTTTCCAGTCGAGGTTTGTCTGGTTCTTGAACCCATGCATTTGCCACATGCTACCTCCCTAAGGACTTGGCTGTGTTGATACAGACTCCTGGAAGAGATATCTAGCTCCAACTACACAACACTGCCAAGAAATTTCAATCACTTGTTTCTCCCCAAGGCCAGCTGGAAGGGAATCCTGAGGGAGATAAAAGATTGAATTCTTGATGTAGTGAGTCTTCACTAACCCTTTCATGTGGCTCTTTGGCTCTAAGTGGCTTCTTTCAGGGTATTCTATTGGTCACTTCACAGCTGAGCAGACATACAGCTATTTGAGTCTTAATGTATCTGGCCAGGATCCTCTTCACTAAAACAAATGTCCTGACTCAGGGTCTTCAATTTTTTTTTTCCTGAATGCGGGAAGTTTCTGAGAACCAATAAACATATTTCAGAAAACTTCCATTTTAGTTCCTTTATGGCACCAAATTCTAATTGAGGAATCTGACTTCTGAGATCAGCAAATCATCCTGGTGACCCAAGAGATTAAGCACACCCTTGTTCTCCAAATCTTGCCACTGAGGAAGTAGAAACCATGAAGAAGAGCTAGGGTCTAGCTTTTGCAGTAGGTAACTTAATAGCTATTTTTTTTTCTGAAGAAACCTGACTTTTTACAGTGAGGGAAAAAATCAGAATGCACAGATAGCTGGAATTGCTGTACCATTCCAAGTAGCCTGGTCAGACATGTGAGATGGAAAGATGGTCAGAATCCCACATCCCAGAATCTGGGACTGGTAGGTAAGTCATATTGCCATCTGTAAAAGAACTGTCAGAGAGGGGGTTGCTAAGAGCACAACAGAATTTTAATTACAGTTATCCAGTTCCAGCTCCAGCAACAAAAAGCTGAGGGAGGCAGAGACTCTCATTCTTCAGGGGTCAAGGGACAAAATGTTTTTTGTGTGATGGATGAAATTTTTGTAATTAAAAAAAAATCTTTCCTCCACTTTGAAAACAAAGATTGACCTAAATTTGAGGTCATTTTCAATTTGGGCCAGTGTGGTAATAAGGTCTCTTCCTGGGAAAAAGCAATATGCTCTTCAGAAACCATGGTGAGTTAGAGGCTGCAGTCCTAGGCCAGAGATGGCCAGAAGTCAGCTCTGGGGGAAGCAGCAGGCCCTGAGTATAAATAGCTGCGTAGATAACATCAGACAAACCTGGCCACCAAGCTAGACCTTGCTCTTGAAAACCTAGCTGCTGAGTAGCTGGTTATGTTAAGTCCATCTCAATGATGGAAGAAAATTACATTAAAGGAGGGGATGCAGGAAGGTAGGTTGTACTTTTAAATATATATATTTATTTTTTAGGTATAGTTGGACACAATATCTTTCTTATTTATTTTTATGTGGTGCTGAGGATTGAACCCAGGGCCTTGCACGAGCTAGGCGTGCACTCTACCGCTAAGCCACAACCCCAGCCCTAGGTTGTACTTTTTTAAAAGACTGAAGATTTTTTTATAGTCTTGGAAAGAAAATGGGGAGAAATCATATTAAAAATAAAAACAAGCCAGATGTGGTGGTGTACACCTGTAATCCTAGAGACTCAGGAGGCTAAGACAGGAGGGTTGCAAGTTCAAGGCCAGCCTCAGCAACTTAGCAAGACCCTAAGTGACTTAGTGAGACCCTGTCTCAAAATACAAAATTGTAAGTGCTGGGGACTTAGCTCAGGGGTAAAGGGCCCTGAGTTCAATCCCTAGTACCAAAATTTTTAAAAGTTACATGGAAGGTTTGACAATACATTGACAATAAAGGCTGTGCAACAGTATATGCATCTTTGCAAAGGAGGCTAGACATAAAATTCAAATGTAGGTAAGATTTCTGTGGTGTAGAAGGTCCTCAAAGGTTGGCTAGCAATTAAATCAACTTTGTGGAGAGGCTGGGTGGGAAGGGTGGTTTCTACATTCAATGGACTAAGGCAAAAATTATACCTAGTCAAGTTACTTAAAAATGGAGCATGAGGGAGATGGACAAGCCGTAGCCCACTTGGCAACACAGCCAGTTCTTCCTCCAGTGTGGGTACAGCTCACTGTCTAATTGGCAGACCACCAGACGAAGCAGTTGGCTTGAGTTCACAGACACAATGTTGCATGGGAAATACTTTAAACATTAGAACCAACTCTAGGCAGGGAGATGCTTCCATACTGAGACCCAATGAAGGAAAGTGACTGAAAGAATGGCAGATTTCTATCCCCCAATTTAAGCCCGGCTGGGACACTGCACACTGAATGGCCACTATGCCTGGCAGCACATTAAAATTTCTGTCTCTCTGTACCAAAGGCCTATTGCTGCATTTGTGTTAAGTACGCATGTGCATATGCTATTACTCACAGCTGCTCTGCATATCACTGCCAAACCCTGTAGTACTTACCCTGAGCATGATAAAGTATGTTCCTGCTCATAGGAGGTAAGTTTCATCAGCTGCTTCTGAGGGTCATCATATCCCATTTTGGAAAGAATACAAAGAGACCAAAATCGGTAGAGACTTGTCTTTATTGGTACTCCAACTCTCTTTGGAGGTAACAGAGAATGATAGTGATATACAAATGTCTTAATGTGGACTCTCACCTGACTCCACACAGAGATATAAATCCTTTGTGTGTTCCTTTCTATTGGTCTTATTTATGCTTGGACATACTTGAAAGCTATTTCAGACTTTGTATTATTCAATTGTGTTAAAGTCAAAAAATTCATCCTGAATGCAGGATGAATTTCTAGTAAGCTCTTCAGATCCAAATGCATCTTAAGTAATCATGGCTTTAAGAGAAGGCTCTAAGGTAAGGTAAACATGCCTACAATCAAAGCGGCTTAGGAGGTGGAGGCAGGAAAAACACAAAGCTCATGGCCAGCCTCTGCAATTTAGGGAGATCCTGTCTCAAAAAATAAAAATGGCTGGGATGTGGCTCAATGGTAGAATGCCCTGGGTTTTATCCCTAGTACCATACCACACGTACACACACATGTATAGTGCACACATACACACACACACACACACACACATATACAAAGATAAACATACATTTAACTAAGGCATGAGCTTTTGTGTATGGGGAGGGGGGGCATAGGTGTCACATAAAATTTCTATGGTCATATTGAAACACCATGATCAATCTTAACTTTTTAAAGGGAGTTCATCTGGATATTGAAAGGGTCACAAGACTATAAACAAGCTCACACAGAAACAACCACTTTTATGTAAATCTATAACATTTTGCTTGCTGGGTATAGTGCCACATGCCTATAATCCCAGTAACTCAAGAGGCCGATGCAGTAGGATCATAAATTTTAGGCCAGCCTCAGCAACTTAGTAAGGCCGTGTCTCAAAATCAAACAGGATGCGGGAAGGTGGGTGCCGTGCATGGGTATGTAGCTCAGTGGTAAAACATCCCAGTTACCAGTACAAAAAATAAGTCTCCTTTAAAAAAATATTTTGAAGGAGTTTATAGTTTTTGAATAGCCAAAAGAACTTCTATACCAACAACTGATGCTTTGCATTAGCTGATGTGTGGCAAACAGCATTCCCATGAAAAATTTCATCACCTTTAGCTTTCCTCCCACCTGTTTCCAAAGGTGACTTTAGTGACTTCTAGGGTTAATGCCATCTGCTCAGGCAGCAAGACCCAAACAAACCCTTGGGATGTGTAGACACATACTATGGATGAGGACTAGTTGTGGAGGTCTTAAGAAGAAGCTTGTTTTTTTGTCCCTAATCAAGGTGAAGAGTGCTGTATTCTGGTTTCCATTTAAGACAGAGATGGCTCATCATTCTTGGAAATAAACTGACTTCTGGTTAAGAAACTTCATCATGGGACTTGAGATACACTGGTTTGGAAAGTTTCCTCAGTTTCTCCTGGGTTCGAAGTCCCCGGCCTTGTAGTGGCGTAAGGCCCATTGGAGGCAGATGAATCTAAACAATAAGAATAATGATGATATTAAGAATTATACTCATAAATCATTGCTGCTGCTTATATTTATTGAGGATTTACTCCCTACTATGCTGCCTGCTAAGTGCTAAATCTACCAGTGACTCATGTTTATAATCTCTTCACTCATTGACCTTTACAACACATCATAAGAAATTATTATTCCAGTATTTATACATGAGAAAACAGAGGCTCAAAGAAATTACATCCTAACTTGCTCAAGATTGTACATTAAGTGGGGGAACCAGGATTTGAACCCAGACCTGTCTGATTCCAGCTCTTGTGCTGTTCTTTACCATATTATCTAAATAGAAAACAGTGAGCACAGATCACTCAGCAAGATGGAAAGGTATCCAAAGGGAGAGAAAGACAAACAAAGTGTGTATACAAAGATATTCAGTGCACAGTGGAAAACTGGGACCAACCTGCTAGTAGATAGCTAGTTAATAATGGCTGTGATGGTTAATTTTGCTTGTCAATCTGACTGGCCCAGACCAAACATTATTTCTGAATATATCTGTGAGGGTGTTTCTTGATGAGATCAGCATTGGGATCAGTGGATGTAGTAAAGCAGACTTCCCTCCCCAGTGTGGATGGGTGTCCTCCAATCTGCTGAAGGCCCTAATAGAACAAAAAGGCAGAGTAAGGAGGAATTTTCCCCTTTTGCTCTCTGTCTGCCTTGTTTGAGTGGGGAAATCTTATCTTCTCCTGCCTTCCCACTGAGATTTATACCATCAGTCCACTTTGTCCTTAGGCCTTCAGACAAAGACTGAATTCTGCCACTGGCTTTTTCCTGGGACTTCAGCTTGCAGGAAGCAGAACATGAGACTTCTTGGCCTCTATAATGGTGTGAACCAATTCCTCATAATACATCTTCTTTTATATATACTTAGATAAATCTGTCCAAATATATACCCATCCCACTGGCTCTGTTTCTCTGAAGAACCCTAATACAAGGGTACAATCCTACAATAGTATACAACGTAACCATTTAAAAAGATTGAGGTAGAGCTTTATACAAAGATGTTCAGAAGAGCTGGGCATGGTGGCATATGTGTGTAATCCTAGTGACTCAGGACACCGAGGCAGGGAGAACGCAAAGCCAGCTTCAGCAATTTAGTGAGGCCCTAAGCAATTTAATGAGACTTTGTCTCAAAAAAAAACCCCAAAAAACAAAACAGAAAAACTGTCTAGAAGTGTGGCTCAGTGGTTAAGTGCCTCTAGGTTCCATCCCTGATATTCCCCCCAAAATAAAATAAACAAAAACCCAAAACAACAAAAAATGTTCAGGAGTAGGCAATAATAAAATAAGTATGCCTAGAATCTCATATATGTAAAGAAATGTATAGGAAAAAACCTAAAAGATGTATCACCAAATGATTAGATTGAGTCAATACAATATCAAATTGCTGCTTTTTTAGGTCAAAGACCAAATATTGTCATTTTCATGTGTTGCAATATAATAGTTACAGTTCTTATTACCACACAGGATTTTGGTGAGAATTTTTGACAGTTTTTACTTCCTAACTTATGTATTCTTTTAACGTTTGAACTTTATTCTTTTAGTAACAACAAACATGCCTTTTATAATAAGGAAAGTAAAAGGATTTTCATAAAAAAGGTGGAAGTCAAAAGAGAACACTATATAAACATGAGCTGTTTTCCCCTCCCATATGTGTGGAAGTTGTACCAGAAGGAGAAACCAGGCATTCATTGACACTCTAGGTGGCATGCAAGGATATGCCTCCTACAGTAGCTTGGTATACATTCTTAGAAATAACTGGGTCAACAAGGATAGGTAGCCCCCACCTGTTAACTGGAGTTGCACTTACAGGCCTTGGGTAAGGAATCTGGTAATGTAGTCCAATTTCAATTCTGGCTGTGCATTCATCTATACACTGTTTAATCAGGTCTCTGTCTGTGAGCTATCAAAATTGGAAAACAAGTGAGGATTTTTGCATCTTTCTAAATGTTCATAAAGTATAGGTACACATGCGCTCTCAGCCTTTTTCAGTTTACTAGCCAGTAAATTAAATATTGATAATTTCTTTGATTCCTAGCACAAAAATATTTGATCATTTGAAAAATTAAATATTAAAATTTAATATTAAATATTGCAATTTAATATTAAAACTTACTGTGGACTCAATTTTTAAAATAGTTAAAAGAGGTAATACATATACATGCTAAAAAATAATATCAAAGGATATAATGAAAAAAACATGTCTCCCTTCTTCCCTTGTCTTCCAATTCCCCTTCTCAGAGATAATTTACCAACAGTTTCTCCTGCGTCTTTCCAAGGATATTCAATGTATATATAAGCCCATATGTATGTAGAGACTTGGCTTTTCCCTTTCACAAACAATAGCTCACTTCATTTTAAGCCCTGTTTTTCACTAACATAATTTGAAGCTCTTTCTATATTCATACTGAATATAGGGCTGTCCTATTCTTTATAAAAGCTATACAAAATTCCAACATAAGATTTTATTATAATTTAACCAATATCCTGCTGATGGACATTTAGGTAATTTCCAATCTTTTGTCACCATGAACAATTCTGCTAAAGATCCCTCTGAAAATATTTTTTTGGCTCAGATGCAAATATAGCTAAAAGATGAATTTATAGAGAAAGAACTGCTAGAAGTAAAAGTATATGCTCAGGCATTTCTAATTCTCACAGTATTCCCAAGTTACCTTCTAGAGTTTGCACCAATTTATATTCCCATCAACAATGAATGAAAAAGTGCTTTTAACACCTTTCTATATTAACATTAAAGTAACCTGAATTTTCATCCAGTGCTACTCAGAAACCCCTTCAGTAAGATACTGGAGAATGATCTACCTCTTGTTTTAAACGGCAATTTCTTTGCTCCCCAGTACCACAAAAACAAAACAAAATCCCCAAGAACTGTAAATTGTTTTGCTCATTAGTAAGAGGAACAGAGAGTTTCAAAATCTCAAATTAGTCAAATTGTGACAGTCTATTTTCAAGTAAAGGGATGAAAAATTCATTCCAAAAAACAGAAAGCCCAACAGGAGAAGGGGAGAAACTATTTCATTCTAGGATGGAAAATGAATCAACAAGTGGATCTGCTATGAGTTTGCAAGTGGCCCCAGAGTAGAGCTAGGATTGCATCAGCCCCAGATGACACCCACAGTGAAGTCTGGGCCCATGTGGCTTGGAAATTCCAAGGGAGTTCCTGCCTACAGTGCCTGCTGGAGCAGAGGGGAAGAGTTCCAGGAACAGAAACACAGAGAGGCACACCAAGTCCTCTGGGGCAGAGTCTCAACTGTCTGACCTCTGTGCTTCTCAGAAACTACTGCTCTGCTGCCACATTGGGAACAGATTTCCACGTTCCCATCTGCCCATTGGGATTCAAAGCAATTAATGAGATACCTTTGGATTATTAAATTCTTAGTGCAATTAAAGTTACAAGAAACTGCTTATGTCTGCATGAAGGATTAAGGAAAAAGGAAAAACCCCTGACAAAGATACCGAGAAGTATGCTGGATCTTCTGGAGATCAGCTGTCTATCTGAACAAGCTCAGGCCAGAGTACTCCAAATTCAGCCATTCATGGGCTGCCTGCAGGATTTTGCCATATCCACACACCACCTATACTAATAGTAAATTTTTCTCTAAGTGGACTCTCTCCTAAGCAGTAGTATTTGTGAAATTCTACCTTGGCTACTTTTCCCCCAGTACATGCTAGTACATATCTTACAATTAGAAACTAGGGCACCTCTTTTCTGCACCCTCAAATAATTTCATGTAGCATCGGTGGCACATACATCTCCCACTGGCTCACCCCTTGGGCCAATCCAAGCAGAGGTAGGATTACCGTGATACCTGAAAACATAGCTTCGAGTAGTTCTCAGATGAGGGAGCCTGCCTAGATATAGTGGGCATATCTTAGGATACTCCCCGACACCAGGCTGGACATTGTGGGATCATAATCTCTGCCTTCAACTATTAAGGCTACTATCTGTGCAGAACAGCTCTAAAAAATAAAGCTGCAAAAAAGGGACCTTCGTATATAATTAACCAAGGGCAATGATGGCTACAGACTATTATTGTTCAAAGTAGTGGCTAACGTGGGGTTAGGAGAAGCAGAAAAATTGAGGAAAACTTCTTAGAGGTCAACTGAATCAAATGATTTGTAAATTGTTCATTAATTCAACCATGCTAAGCAAAGTAAGCCAATCCCCCAAAACCCAAAGCCGAATGTTCTCTCTGATAAATGGATGCTGATCCATAATGGGGGATTTGTGTGTGGGGAGAGAATAGAGGAACTTTGGGCAAAGGGAAATGGAGGAGGGAGGAGGCATGGGGGCAGGAAAGATGGTGGAATGAGATGGACATCGTTACCCTAGGTACATGTATGATTGTACATATGGTGCAACTCTACATTATGAACAACCAGAGAAATGAAAAGTTGTGCTCCATTTGTGTATAATGAATTGAAATGCATTCTGCTGTCATGTGTAACTAATTAGAACAAATAAAAAATTAAAATTAAAAAAATTTTAAATGTTCATTAATTCAGTGAAAACCGCAAGGCAGGTCTCATGGGATATGAGAGAAGTGTACGATACTGTCTATGTGCTCTAGAACTGACCTTTGTTGGGAAGACCAACCTAACATAAATGAAACAAAGAAGGAAAAAGAATATGACAACTCTGGGGTCTCCAAACATGTTGTGTGTGTTTGTGGTACCAGGGATAGAACCAAGGGACATTTAACCTCTGAGCTACACCCCTAACTCTTGAGACAGGGTCTTGCTAAATTGCTGAGGCTGGCCTTTGTGATGCTCTTGCCACAGCCTGGCAAGTGGCTGGGATCACAGGTATGTGTCATAGCACTTGGCTCCAAACTTTTTATTATCCACTTCTTCCTTACAATAAAAAATTCTGAGCCCATAGTTCCCATATGTACTTTTTATCAATCTATAAATGTACTAGTTTATAAATTTATAAATTATAAATGCTCCTTGACTTATGGGATTATTCCAGATTCTCCCATCGTAAGTTGAAAATTATGCATTTGATACTACATACCTAACCTACCGAACTTCACAACTTAACTTGCCTTAAATGTGGCTGAGACATTTACATTAGCTTAGGGTTGGTCAAAATCATCTAACATAAGTATATTTTTGTTATTATTTTTTTTGGTGGCACTAGGAATTTGAACCCAGAGGCTCTTTACCACTGAGTCACATCCCCAGAACTTTTTATTTTTTATTTTTTTTTAAAGAGAGAGAAAGAGAGAGAGAGAATTTTTTTAATATTTATTTTTTAGTTTTCGGCAGACACAACATCTTTGGTTGTATGTGGTGCTGAGGATCGAACCTGGGCCACACGCATGCCAGGCAAGCGCGCTACCGCCTGAGCCACATCCCCAGCCCCAACTTTTTATTTTTTATATGGAGATAGGGTCTTGCTAAGTAGCTTAGGCCCTTGCTAAGTTGCTGAGGCTAGCCTTAAACTTGCAATCCTCCTCCTCAGCTCCCAAGTTGCTGGGATTACAGGCTTGCACCACCATGCTTGGCCAATGTATATTTTATAATGAAGCGATGAATATCTCAAAATTTGAGGTACAGTTTCTACTGAATACTTAGGGGTCATCTATATATATGTACTAATAAGTTCATTATAAATAATATACAAAACAGACATTTTTTATAGAATGAAATAGAAAAAACAAAAATATCAGCTGAAGTATTTTATTTCTATTCTTTGAGGACTGTTTAAGGACTTCATGGGGAATACAACCCTGGTTTGGCAAGCCTGGTCTACACTAAGCAGAAAGAGTTTGGAGAAGCTGGAGAAGGGTCAGAAGAGTAGAGGGAGCCATCATTACCAACTCAACCTTAAAAGGCAAGGAGGCTTCAGGGATTCCAAAAAGGGAAAATCAGGAGGTTTTCTCTGGAGGCACTTGTCTCGGTTGTAATTTAGTATTTCCTCCCACCTAACTCTGAAACATCTTTGAGGGACCTTGTCTTGGTTTTGCTCATTTTCATATCCCTGATGTCTAGCTGGTGTTGGGCACATGCTGGGCACTTGAGTGCTTTCTGAATGAGGAATAAGAACAAAAAGTTGCTGAGAGGTGACAGGAGCTACGACAATTGCACAAGTGGGGAGGGGAGGCGAGTTCTGCTCTGCATTATCAGACAGTGGTGAGGTCCTTTCAGGTGCTGGTCGGAGGCCAAGGCCAGGGATTCAGATGTGAGGGCTGAAACCACATATGGTTTCATGTTGCATGGGCCTCAGTGCAGAGGGCTGACCTTCAGGGGACCCCTATAGCTTATGGGAGGGAGTGTGGAGAAGGCAGGGACAAAAAGAGACAGACTCAAGATTCAGGGAGGGAAAAGTATGAGAGCAGATTGGAAGTTTCACGAATCCATTGGATCAATGCAAACAAGGCTGAAGAGAAGCTGATAATCTCCTTCCATGCATAACACCTGTGGTCTCCCTAAGGAACTCAGAGCTCAGGCCTTATGGCTTGTTGGGAATGGATCAAATCTGGCTCCCTGGGGTCTGGGTGTGCAGTTCTGTTAAACTGGCTAATAGAGGCATTATTTTATTCAATTCTATGGTCCCAAAGGGCAACCTCACTCTGCTCTCCAAAGAGGCTCAAGTTCAAAGCTCAGTTATGAAGGGAACCCTGTGTCTTAATGCTATTCTCTTCCCTCTGAATACATTTATATTTGGAGGCAATGATTAGTTTATAAAGTGAAAAAAACATTTCAGTGTGCACCTCCTGTGGGAGTGGCTTGCAAAGGGCACAGCATGTGACAAACAACTCTTCCTCTAAAAATTTTCATTGGTCTGACTTTAGGTCACCTGGTTCATAAGGTCTTCTGAGGACACTGAGCCACTTACTGGCCACACTGAGATTTGGAACAAGTGAAGAGAGCAGCACGGCTGTGTTCAACTCTAGCGGTTGCGCAAGCTAGTAAAACTGTGCTCAGGCCCCTTCTGCCCAATGCGCCACCATTTTGATTTGTGCTGCTCTGTCCTCTGAATTTAGGAGAGAAAAGAAATGTACAACATGAGAAACTCCTCTTCTCACAATCTCCAACGGAGGCCTACTTACGTTTTTGTTTTTCTGGAACAGTGTTCTTGCTTCATTGAGTATGTACTGTTTTTCTCTGATGGTGTCTTCCATCTGCCCTGATGCCGCCTGCCATTTCCTTGCAAGCCTGAAAACCCGGCGGTAGAGGCCAAGAACTTCCTGTCGTGTTGCCATTGTCATCTCCAGACCCACCAAAATAGAAGAGGAAAAATTTGCATAAAAATGCAATTTGACAGAAAGCAGCTAGGCAGATGTATATTTTTAAAAAAATCAAGATTTTTAATTAGTCTAGAAATACTGCTCTTTGTCAACAGATCTGTTGTGTAGCATTGCCAGAATGGCTTGGCAGAACCAGCAGCAAACTTAACTGACGTTGAACATCATCCCGTGGCTGAGGGCTGCTCTATCATGCTGTCTGCCCTGAGGGCCATTTTTGCAAACATTGGCAAAACCAAAATTCACATTTACTACCCTTTAAAGCCAGTGTTAACAGATTATATCAGAAATGATACTTTTAGTGGTAAAATTACATCACGAACCTGAGTGCCTAGAAGACACACTTGGAATAACTGAATTTTCTAATTAAAGCTTAGGTTGTGTACTCAAGTGCCTCCAGGGCCTGGCAGGCAACATATGTGAGGGTGCGTGGCTGGATGGGGACAGTGGCCAACTGAACAGGACACACCCCTCTGAAAGGGGACAGTTGCTATTCAGCTCCAGCCAGCTGTTAACATGCAGAAACAAGGGCCAAGAGATGTCAGATGGATGGGCCTTATTGCTTAAGAATAGGTGGCAATCCAGATTTTAATAATATAAATTTCAAAACAGGCTTATTCATTATTTCTGAAAATGTGAGCACCATGCAGGGCAAATAAAATGACTCTGTAGGCTCGATTCCACCCAAAGGCAATCAGTGTATGACTCTCTTTTTTTGGCCGTATGGGGGATTCAGGACCCAGCATATGCTACGCAAGCACTCTACTACCGACCTACATCCCTAGCCATTTTGCGGGGAGGGTACTCAAGATTGAATTCAGGAATACTTGACACTGAGCCACATTCCCCCCACCCCCCCGCTCCCGGGGCCCTTTAAAAATTTTTTTTTTTTATTTTGAGGGCTGGGGTTGTGACTCAGTGGTAGAGTGTTTGCCTAGCATAGGTGAGGCATTAGGTTCGATCTTCAACACCACATTAAATAAATAAACAAATTAATTAATTAAAGGTATTGTGTCCATCTACAACTAAAAAAAAGTTTTTTAAATTTTTTAAAATTTTGAGACAAGGTTTTGCTAAGTTACCCAGGGTAGCCTTGAACTCAAGACCTTCCTGTCTCAAGACCTTCCTGTCTCAGTCTTCTGAATAGCTGGGATTCCAGGTGTGTGACACACACCCAGCAGGTTATGACCTGTCTTTAGTTCATCATAACATTTTAGGAAATATTTCTCAAATTTTTAAAATCTATTTTCCTGTCTAATAAGAACTGTAAATAATTATAATTGAAAATCTTTCTGGTGATAACAGTTTTAATTCCAGAGGGCTTGGCTAAATGAGAACTGACCTAAGTATATTTCCTTGAGCTAACTGATTTTTTTTTTAAATGAAATTTCTTTCACCTGGGTACAGTGTTGCATGCCTGTAATCCCAGGGATTCTGGAGATTGAGGCAGGAGGATCAAAAGTTTGAGGCCAGCCTCAGCTTAGTGAGGGCTTGTCTCAAAATAAAAAATGAAAAGGGCTGGGGACTTGTGCCCCTGACTTCATTAAAAAAAAAAAAATTGTCACTTTTAAGTTATTTTTATCCTGAAATATTTCAGATACAAAAATATAGAGAATAATACAAGTCCTATATTCACAACAAACCTTAAACAGATTAAGTATATACAGATGAAACTCTCATTTAGCCACTTTCAAATCACATTCCCCTTCCTCACTTCTAGAAGAAACTGCTATCCTGAATGCTCTTTATCATTGTCATGAGTTATCTCTGCACTTAATACTGTATGGTATTGCTCTGCCACTTGCATTTTTTGTGCACCATATTTGCAAGATCTGTGTTGTCACCTGAGCTCTAGTTCAGACATTCTCACAGCTGCAATTCAGTCCACTAATGAAGACATCCCAATATACTGTCTATTCTGTTGATGGGCATTATGTATTTCAATCTCTTTTTAACTTACACAAAAGCTTCAGCCTATTTAATATTTACATTTCTGCATCTAAAATTTCAGGGAAAACAGTTGGGGAAATGTTTCACTGGTGGAGGTTTCTGCTTAGTCAGACAGGACAATAAATATTGTATTGCCTTTGACAAGGGGACAGACAGGCTGGAAGACCAGGGGGACAGATTTGGTGAGTAAGTAGCAGGGCCAGACATTTGGACATGCCATTATGAGTCTTGGATTTTTCTCAAACAGGCTGATCAGGATTGGGGAGTAGGCTACTCACTGCCATTTGGGAACATGACCCATTTCCAGCCCCCAGGAGGAGGCAGGATACCTGGAGATGGTATGCTTTAGAGGGTGGTCCTGGGCTTACAGGAATCTGGGCGATGGAAGCTGGAAGAGGGTGTATATATCTAGAAATACTAGGCACCTTCAAGGAATTCACCTTCCAGAGAATTAAAGATGACTGCCCCTCCTACTTACCCTGACCCTGTGTGTCCTTCTTGAGCAATGAGGAACAACTGAGGCTTAGCTATTTGATGAAAACCTTGAAAGCACTACTCCACCCAAGGAAAAGGTTAAATGGATCAAAGTTATGTACAATACTAATTCTGAAGTCCATGATGATTCACAGAAAAAATGCTTAAAAGGAATTCATAAAAACCAATAGAGAACATCATGCGTAATAAAAAAAACCAGATGAGATGACGACATTTTTCCTGGTAAGGAAACAGGTTTCTGAGTTTCTGGCTCTCCCTAAAACTCCATGGTTTCATCTGAAAATACATGAGTCAGTTCCTGTGAGGGACAGTCACGTCTATTAATGATTGCTTTACTTCTCTGTCATTAACAGACAACGCTTCCTTAACTTGGAGACACTTGCCCATGAAAGTGAAGGTCAGGCATATTAAGATCTAGCACACTCCTCCAGAGCCTGACTTGAATGAGTTTTCTTCCACGGCTCTGAGAACCACCCTTTAAACTCTGATCATATACCATAATCTGAAAACAGAAGTCCTGTAGTTAGGTTAGTCAAGGGGACAAGCAATACTAACAACTGATACTTAGAAGGACTATTTTTAAAATGCATTAGTTAATGTGTTTTGAAAACTAATCCTGAAAAGGAGATAGGTGATGATTCTCTCTCTCCATTAGGTGACTCAGAAAGCCTGAGTTCCAAAGATTTCCAGAGAGGAGGTTTTAAAGCCGTAGTCACTAATAAGTACTATCAACAAGTCTTGAGAATAAAAGCAAGAAAAATTAAAGTATGTCTTTTTTTCCCCCCTTACTGATTTCTTTCAGTTCTCTGAGGGAACCATGATCTTATCCATGCTGTTCCCTCTTTTCGGAAGCCCTTCCCTGACCTCCTTCCTCCCTTTTACCTGACCAACCCCTACACATCCTTCAGCTCCCCATGAAAACAGGGTTGACTCAGAAAAATCTTCTTACCTCCTTCCCCACCCACAGTTTGGGGGCTCTCTGCGGAAGCTCCCCATGGCTCTTAATATTTCTTCTTTTTAGCATTCATCACTCAAGTAATGGCTTGTTAATGTCTGTTTCCCCCAGTGGACTCTAGTATCTAGAAAAGGACATCATTGGTATACAACAAATGTTTGCTGAATAAGTGAAAATATCTCTGGCTACACAACACCTGTGATTCTAGACATGGAATTGGTCAGACATTAAAAAAAAACAAAAAGCAGTTCTTTTGCTTTTGGTTTAGTTTTGTCTAAAACTAGTTTGTTCTTAGAAAAGAGTTCATCTGTAACTTTTTTATAAGGAGATTTTCTCTGCATGGATCTAATGGCCTGAAATCAATTTTTTTTCTTCTCACACTTTTTTTCCTAGGTGTCAGAGGTCAACTGAGCATAATGGGGTCTGCTGGGAGGGTTCTTTCAGCAATATGGTTGTTTAGAGGACAACACTTGAACTGCAGTCACAACTGGCCATGAAGTCTATTACACAATTTTTACAGTTTGAGTTTTATAATTTTTGAGATTGACACTTAAAACTCTGTTCCTTTTCATCCCCTTAATCCCTAAATCCCAGAATGAGAAAAGATAGAAAATATGAGGTGAGCCCAGAAGTAAATGTAATTGGAAGCTGGTCTCTTTTCTTAAAATCACACCTCATGTATGAAGAGTGTCAAGATGTAGTTCACTATGGAGTGCCCACATGTAGAGAAGGTGCTGTTGCTAGTGTTTTGGCCTCTGGTCTTAGTTGGGAGAAGTTTCCCCTAATGCAGGTGCCCTGAAGTCTGTCTGGGGAGGTGATTCTAGATCTACACATATTTAAAATAAACAAATAATACACACATCTATTAGTTGTGATTATTTTAATGAATCTTAAAATAGCCCACTAAACACATTATTTCCAATCTGTGTGATATAGAGCTTGCTCTAAAGAAATGTTTTCTCTAATATGAGAATGCTGATCCATAATGGGGAGAGCTAGGAAGAGTAGGGGTTTAGGGGGGTGGGAAAGATGGTGGAATGAGATGGACATTATTACCCTAGGTATATATGTGATTGCACAAACTGTGTGATTCTGTATGGTGTATAGCCAGAAAAAATGAGAAGTTGTGCTCCATTTATGTACAATGAGTTTAAATGCTTTCTGCTGTCATATATAACTACTGAGAACAACAACAAAAAAAGAAATGTATTATCAAAATTTTTATGTTAGTTTAAAACACAGGAAAATAGCAAAAAAAAATGAACAGTAATAATTCTGAATAACAGAAGCATGGGAGCTATGCTCTAAGGCACCTGCTATAGCATACTTTTTGTTATTTTTTGGAGGGGAGAGATGCAGCCTTCCACATAGAAGGACTCTTTTCTGCTACCCGCCTCACCTCACCAAGTAGACACCTATTTACTATCCAGCTTTTCCAGAGCACCTTTCTCCCTGCATCTATCATAGCCAGCTATTGCTTTTATAGTTATATCATTGTGTGTGCGCACATATGTGTGTATAACACAGGGTCTCCAAACTCCCAGAGGGCAGGGACTGCTCATTACAGTGATAATATTAAGAGCTACGTTGCTTTGCATTTACTATGTGCCAGACAGACACTCCACAAGGTACTTTACAAATATTAACCCCATAATCATCACAGCAATTCTATAAGGCAGGTGCTCCTATTATCCTCATTTTACAAAGGAGGAATCCGAAGCAGAGAGATTAAGGAACTTGTCCAAGGTCACAAAGCTAGTAGTAAATCAGGACCAGGTTTCAAACCCCATCTGAAGCCAGAACCTGTGTAAGCTTTTAGTATGCAGTGATTACTACATAGGCAGCTCCATCTTAATAAATGTTGTGGGATGTGTGTTGGTTGCTTGAAAGAGCTTAGCCAGTGGAACAAAGAGAACCAAACAGTTCCATTCCCTTCCTATACAAAGAGCAAAGAAAGCAAATTATTTTGTTCCTTGATATGAATTACAATCTTTTATAAGATTCCTCATATAGCGTCTGCCTCTGCATCTAAGTGCCCTTCTTCAATAATTATGGCGCACATCAGCATCTCTCAAGGAGGCTGTGCACTTGTTAGAATGCTCTGTTCTCCGTTTCCTGTGGCAACCCTGTCCCCGGACTCCAAGGAGAGCTGACATCACAGAAGAGACACCACAGCATGGGCTCATTCCACTGCTACCACCCTGCGGCTTTACTCTTCCCTACCATCTGTTCATATACTCGGCATTTATGGGGTGCCCACAACATGCCAGACACACGTGGGTCTGAGAGCACAATGATGAGCAAGCACTCAGGTCCTCCTAAACGTATGTTGTAGCGGCAGAAGCAGATGATACACAAGAAAGACAAAGAATTCCAGACAGTGATACATGATCTGAATGAAACAGTAATGTTACAAATGAGCAGAAATCAGTTATTTTGGGTTGTCAGTGATATTTCACTTGGGTCCAGAATGGTGTGGAAGAGCCTAACAGTGGAAAGAATTAAGGAGAGGGTAGGGCAGAAAGAGGGAACAGCAGGAGCAAAGCCCTGGAGGTAGAAACAGCTTCAAAGGTGAACAGCAGTGCAGCAAGAGTGTCCCGGGAGGAGGCCGCAGGTCAACACACCCAGCACCAAGGCAGGGATGGCCTCAGAAGAGTTTGTAGTCCAAGAGGAAAAGGAAGATGTTGGTGGATTCAAACTAAGCAAAGTGTACCAACATGGTGTGCTTTACGTCTTTTAAGATGTGCTGCAATCAAAGCATATCATACTACTTATGATTTCATCACTCTTATAGATGGTAAAATAGGAATCTGGCTTAATGCCACCTAACCAATTGACAGGAGAGTCAGGATCAAGGGCCCCAAAAGCAGGATGATTGTTCCCTGTCTCACCACAAGCTTTTTCTTGCTTTTATTCTGGAGTCAGTAATGGAACTCATAACATGCAGTGATCAGTCTATAAATAAAACTAAACACCCACTAACTTTTCCACTTGGTATTAAGGGTGTAAGTACAGTGACAGGGCCTGGGGACGCCTCAGGAACCTATTCTGTCAGGCATACACCTAGATGCAGGTATGTCCAATCCAGTTTTACAGAAGTACCACAGGCCGCATCTGCTTAACCCTTTTTTCCCACCTCTGGGAACAATTTCCTCCATCTTTGGAAAGACCATTACAGCAGGAACACTTAGGAGTTTAAAAGCAGAGATGAAAATTCCCTTTCCCCAGATGAAATTTATAGAAGTATGACTCTGGTTTCAGGAATGTCCAGATTCCAAATGCTGGACTCTTAGGAGGCTTTGCCTTCCACTGAAGAAAAAAGTGTTGCAGTACAAACGAGAGAAGAGACAGAAAAAGACACTCAAGCCCCAGGAGCTAAAGGGAAAGACCTTTTTCCATTCTTTGAAGAAAGACCTGACCCTGAATGGAATTTTTATTTTTTCTCAGCACAATTAATGACCATAGTTGAAATATCTCAAGCACCTCATGATTTTTGGTGGGGCATGGGGGAGATTGTGAAATCCACCCAAATGAAATCAGGCCTATGACTCACTGCACCGGTGGCACGTCCCATGTCCTGCTGGCTGGCTGCTTAGATCTAGGGGCCCTTTCTTCTTGCCATATGAAGGCCCCATCCCACACGACTGAAATATTATTTCTTTGCCTATCTGCTGCTTCTCATGCTTTGGCTTCCATTACTTTGGGGCAGGGGTGCCTTTTTATGGGTCACTGTCCCTACTATGTGCTGCCCTGGCATCTCCAGCTTGCCCCTAGGATAACGTTCAGCCTACTCTGTTAGACTTTTCATTTGACCTACCTTTCTTCTTTTACTGTGTATGTATGTGCGGGGGTGAGGGGAAGAGGGCTGAAACTGTTTTATTCACTACGCTTTTATGCTGTGGGGTCAGGACAAAGAAATGAAAACTCAGTGTTATTTAGAGGTAGGGGGAGGGCCTATCAGTTCCATCTAGCTGTAAAAAATACACAGCTATGATATAATCATCACTTGTTTTAAGGCCAGTTAGGGTTTGCCCACTGGACTAAAATGTTTTATAAGGCTTCTGGAAGCTTAAAACCAAAGATTTGGGAAAAATGGGGTTCTGATTTTTTTTTTTCCTAAACTTTGGGGGAATAAGGCCCATTACAACCAATGATCAGAGGTTAAAACCAACCCAGGGAATTGTAATTTAAAGTGTTTGTTATTTGGAAAACCTCTAGGAATTGAAATGCTCTGGAAGATGCTAAAGCAATCAGACTTTCTTTTCCTGAGCAGCAGAGTGAAGAACACCCATCTTGGATATGGACATCAAAAATTTTCCACATTTCTTACCATAAAGTCCAAAAAATGAATTTATGGGCTTTGGGTAGACAAAGGTGGGTTTGAATCCTGACTTTACTCTGCACTGGACAAATTATTAGCCTTCCTGAGCCTCGGATTCTTAAAATGTACTACAGGGTTACAATAGCACTGTCTTTGAAGAATTGTAAGGATTAGTCATGAGATATTTTATTAAAACACTTAGCACTAGGAGTTAGAGGTACAAATTACCCGAGTAAGAGGAAATAAAGAAGGAACACCGAGAGGCCTCTTGTATCTATGCCATTCTTTGTCTGCAGAGAGGGGAAAAGAAGTCTGATGCCTGTTGGTGAATTTATTGCTTTGTGGTAGAATGGATTTTCCTAAAGCTGTTTCCCTCTGATCATTAATAATCCCTGTACAGTAAAGGGCTATTGTTCTTCAGTGTGAGTAAATAACCTTTTGGAGACACTGCTTATCTTCAGGCCACAGCACATACTTCTTACTGGAAATACAGTGCAGGTGCCAACACCAAAGGCATGACTAGGCTTTCCTTCCTATTTTTCTTCCTTTATCTCTTACTCCTTGTTTATCCTTTGGTTGCTTTTCTCCTAGATCTGTGACACTTCCTACTGTTTGGCACCAGTATCCTATACAATAGCGTCGTTACTATAATCAACCTTCAAGTGAAACTGGGCACCACGCACCCGTGGTCCTCTGCCTTCCTTCCCTTCCATCAAGCAACACAAACACACACACACACACACACACACACACAACCACATACAGAGACTTGTTTCCTGTCCTGGATTCAGTTTTTGGTTACTAGAATTCAAAAAGGGAAGTGTAATGCCACGTACTTTTGCAAATCTCAGGATGTACTTGTGGGTGTGCTTCACCCTACCGCAGCTATTCTCTGAAACAGCATTTTTTTTTTTTTTTTTTACACACAGAAAGCGATGAGAATATTGGTGTGTCAGAGACTTGGGGCAGGGAGGAAAGGTACTTTTATTTTACCTAAGGGAAATGAAACTCTCTGTAAAGGGGCAAAACTGAAATATCCAAAAGACTTCTAAACTAACTATCCCAAATAAGATCATAGGAGGTAAACATACCCATTCTAAATACAGATGTCCCTCAACTTGGACCTGATAAATTTGTCATAAGTTGAAAACATCTTAAGTGGAAAATGCACGTGTTATACCTAAACTACCATCATGGCTTAGCAACACAGCACAATGTGAAGTCTTGGTTCCTCACCCTCATGGCTGAGTGGGAGTTCTGGGTGGCTAGCAGTGGCTGCCCTTCACTGGGAGAGAGTACTAGATGACATATTGCTAGTTCAGGAAAAGATCAAAATTCAAACACATATCACTTTCACACCATTGAATTCAAGAAATCCTAAGTTAAACCATCCTTCAGTTGGGGCCCATCTGTGTATTCCATCAGCACTGGAGTGCACACAAGATTATACTTGTGAAGGGGAACTCCAATCAGACCACTGTAACCAAGCTATATTGACCAATAGACATACAGGCTATTTACACTGTAACCAAGATATATCAACCAATAGATATACAACTCTTATTCCCTTTAGGGATAGAAATTCTAAGTGAATATCAAGTCACGGTTCCTCAATTCAAAAGAAATAGGAATATCTAGTTCCTTATCAGCATTTTTTGGGGGGACACTGGGGATTGAATCCAGGAGGAGTCAATCCTTCTAAAAATATTTTGAAACAGCATCTTGCTAAATTGCCCAGGCTGGCCTTCTCCATCCTCCTGCCTCAGCCTCCTGAGGCATAGGCAAGAGCCGTCATGCTTGCTCCTTATCAGCACATTTTAAGAGATAAAGACAAGCTGAGGGTCAGTCAGAGGTGGCAAAAACTAGTTAATTAAGTAGGTGATATCAAAGAAGTACAGGACAGGCTGGAATCAGACCAATGCTGAAGATCAACCAGTCATTCATAACTCCCAAGCCAGGATTTTCAACCTTTTATAGCAGCTAGGGAAATTAAGAGAGCCAAAACATTAATCTAAATTCCTGTTTTGTGATAATTCTTAGAAACTGGATTAGGAAACTGATAAACGGGTTAGATTACATTAGATACAGCTGGAGCTTTTTATTAGCAACTAACCTTAGCTCCAACTATTCAAGAGAAAACATCATCTGCACAAGGGACCATGGCTTCAGAACATTTTCCAATCCACTACCAAATGAGCAACTTTTCTTATCTGTAGAGATACTTCAGTTTCTAACCAGATTAAGTCCCTTATGAGTAGGAGCAATGATTGTCCAGTCTTATGATATGAATGATAAGCAGTCAGAGTATCCTTAAGTTCCCCCAGTTTCAGCACTGATCAACAAAACTTTCAGTGATGAAACTGTTCTGTCTGGGCTTGGTGGTGCATGCCTGAAATCCCTGCTACTTGTGAGGATGAGACTGATCAAGGCCAGCCTGGTTAACTTAAGAGAGACCCTGTCTTCAGAAATATTTGTTCTTTCTGCCTCATCCAACAGGATAGACATCAGCCACATGTAGCTATTGAGTGTTTGAAATATAGTGTGTCCAAAGACCTGAATTGTTATTTCAAAGTCACATGTAACTAATAGCTATTTTATGTATGTATATACATAAAATAGCTATTAGTTTTATTTATATATACACACACACACACACACACACACACACACACATACATACACAGACAGCAGAGCTCTAGACCAAAAAATGCAAATCAAATGTCCACAGGGGTCAGCCAGGCACTGGAAGGGAAAAGAGGCCTTCAGCATTCTTGGGGAATAAGCCACACAAATGGGGAAAGCAGTTCTTAAGCTTTAACAGACTTGCTGTGTAGGAACCTTAAAGAACCGCAGGCTAGCGTCAGATTGTTTGATTTTTCAAATGAAGTTGAAAAATCTGGATTTTGATGCCCAATGTTGTCAAGTTAAAGAATTTACATTACTTTGTGGGCCCAAAGATATGTTTGTAGGCAAAATGTGTCCAGTCATTTTGTAACTTCTAATCTAGGCCAACTATTTTGGCTCAAAGGGCCTTATCCAAGGCTACTCTGCTGGTTAGTAGCAGATTAGAGATAGAAACCTTCTGATTCTTCTTCTGATATCTTTTCTACTAGATTATGAGATGGAACATAATTGTGATGATGCTAGCAGCAGCAGCAAGCACAAGAACCCCTTTGTCAAAAGCTACTAAATTCCATAGCTGATAATATATGAACTTTGTGTTCCTGTCCAGTAGAACCACATGTTGTACCCTATGGGCAAGGCTCTGTACCAGGAGTCAGGAAGACAGAAAGATGAAATAGTCCAGGAGAAAGACAGACATGTAAATAAACCTTTATCAAAGTCACCTTTTCTATAATGGATGCAAATTACCTGTGCATAAGTCCAAAAGCACTGACAGCTGGGAGAGGAAGGAAGGATTTGAGCCAGACCTTTGAGGATGCATCTCACATCATGAGGGTGGGTCCCATTATTCCAGTATATTAAGGGGGACTTCTTCTTTTATCTTTGATGTCTTGTCCATATTAAGTCTCCTTTACTGGTCTCTCCCTCTCTGGGTAATCTCTAAGTGTTACAAGCCCAAGGAGTTTGGGAATCTCTACCCTGTTCCTAGGTGACCTAGGAACAGACTCCTCCAAAACACACACACACACACACACATTTATTATCTCCAATTACTACTTTCCCCCTAACTTGAATACCTAACTTCTCTCAACATCTTTCTCTGGATTGTTAACAGATTTTTCATACTTAGCTCTGTTCAGGAGAACTTAACAACATTCTTTTCCAAACTCTTTTCACTTTGGGAGTGATCCCTGGATTCCACCCTCTCCCACACATTTCACATCCAATTGGAAGCAAGCCCTGCAAACTCCAGAAATACTCCCAATCTATTTCTCTCTCTTTCCACAGTGAAGGCCCTTTCAACAAACACTACTGACACCTCTCCCTTGGCCTAAGGCAACAGCCTCTGAACAGGTCTGACTACCATTCTCCATCCAGCAGCCAGAGTGATTTTTTTTTTTTAATTATTCTTTTAGTTGTCGATGGACCTTTATTTATATATATAAGGTGCTGAGAACTGAACCCAGTGCCTCACACATGCTGGCAAGCGCTCTACGCTACCACCCAGCCAGGCTAGAGTGATTTTTTTTTAAAAAAAATGTAAATCAGGTCAGGTCACTACCCTACTTAAAATCCTTTGGTACCACAAAAGCCAAATCCTTGCCTTGGGCAAAAAGGTTTTGCCAATTCTTCAGCTTCAACACAGAACACTGCCCATTTCTGCTTCAACCACGTGGTCCTCCCACCAGCTCTTTTCTCCACCTAGAAAGCACATTCTCTGTCTTCCTCCTTCTCTTGGATTCTCCCCAAACCGTGACCTCCTCTGACAGTCTCACCCTATGTAGAGCAGCCCTCCCACCATCTTCCATCATTGCACCGGGCATTTCTCACTTGTGGATATCTTCTGAATTGATTGACTTGTTCTCCTACACTAAAATGTTCTCAAGTCTGCTGATCAGGGAGGTACGACGCTGTCTCTCAAGTGTCCTACAAAGTCTCCGTTTCCGTGCGGGAGCTAGTTTAGGCCGACCTGCCTAAGCCAGGCGCCTCTCGCCCCCCAAACTGCCCCCGTCTTCTCGCATCTACATTCGGGAATCCAAAAGGTTCAGAGAAGTCTCAGAGGGACCCCCAAACCAAGCCTCCCTTTCCTCGCCCATTTCCCGGAGCCAGGTACCCGAGGCTAGTGGCGATGACACCAAGCCGCCCTCGCGAGGCTGGGGTCACACAGGCGCGTCTCCTAGCGACACCGCACCCGCACCCCCACGGCATCCCTGCCTCTGGGGAGCCAACCCCTTCCCCCGGTTCCCGGCGCCAGGAGTCAGAGTCTCCATCCCTTACACTCACTCTGCGTCAGTCCTACCTTCCCCCACCCACAGAAGCGCCGCAGCCCCTGGCTGGCAGGGAGGAGGCGGCGCCAGGAGGTTTGCAGAGCGGTGGCCGACCCAGCTCCGGCAGGTCGGGTAGGACAGGCCGGACCAAACCACCGAGAGGACTAATGTGGAAGCATGAGTCCCAGGTCAGGGGCAGTCTCGAGCTTTCCTAAACTTCCAACTATATGCCGTTCTTCGTCGCATCTAACAATGTACCCAATCTCATACTCTTTGTTTTTGACCCTTCACCCCTCTCGCTATCCTGCTCCCCCATTCCAGTCAAAAAATGGTCCAGCCCAGCTCCATGTAGCCCTCCCTCCTGGTGGTACGTCTTTGCCCTTACTTGGCTATGGCTTCGTACGTCTTTGCGTACGCCGTGACGTAATCTTCCACCCGTTCCCTCCCTGCCCCTCTCCCATTCTCCCTCCTGGAGCTGGCGGCCGGCGGGGTTACCGGAAGTGATGATGCAGGAGGCGATGGAGGGGGCGGGGCTTCGGGGCGGCCGCCGCCGGTGGGCCGCAGATGAAGAGGAGGCGGCGGCAGTGGTGGAAGAAGAGGCGGCGGCGGCGGGGGTAGGGAACCTGGAAACGCGAACGGGGATGGTAGGTGGTTTGGACCCGCCGAGCCGCCGTCGTTTCCAGAAAGGGTTTGACTGGAGGAACCTCTGGAGCAGCTGTGAGTTTGGGGAGGGGGGAGTTGAGGAAAAGGGGGGAGCATTGCGAGATGCAGGGGCGGGGGTTGGGTTCCTTCGAGAAAAGCGGGGTGGAAGGGGAGGAGTGGAAATCAGAGCCTTGTCTGGACTGGTCCCCCAGGAAAGAAGAGGCTGTGAGGGGAGCCTGTGGCGTGTCAGCCGCAGGGCTCAGAAAACTTGCCTACTGTCCCTGCCTCCCACGGCCAGCACCCCTCAACCCAGGGCCTGGGGGTCTGGGGCCGGAACTGCCCTGGAGGAGGTGCAGACTCTGGTCCTAAGTCCCGGGTGAGCGCTGAGAGGTAGGAGCCCGAGGGGGAGACGGTGGGTGAATCTCCAGCTCCCTCCGCCCTCATTTCCCTCCCCACCCCCATCCTTCTCTTTAATCGTTAACAGCCCCGGAATTAAGGGGCTCCGACCTGAAGGCCTTTCTATGCACCTTTACTATGAACGATAACCATCTGTGCCTGAGGTAATGGGGCTGGAGGCTTTGCCTGTATCCTGTATAGGAAGTGGGATGGGGTGACAAATGTATTGTTTTTTCCAACCCCCCCTTACCCCCATACACACCCCTCGTTTCCACTTTAATTCTCTCTGGCTGAGTGTCAGCCGTGGTCCCCCCCTCCCCCGCCTTTATGGCACTTAGTATCTTGGTTACCTCTTTTGAATTAGGTGTTCAGCTTCTATCCCAGATCTTAACTGCAAGCTTTGTAATACTTCAGTCACAGGCTGTGCATTGGGAGTACTTCTCAGCGCCTTGTAGCTTCCTATTATAAGGAGGAGCAATTTCTTTTATGAATAGTGGAATTCTAAAGCCTTTGCAAGGAATCCTAAATGGCATCATAGCCCAGGAATCAAGGTCTCTTGCTCTAAATACTTTTTGTGTGAGGAATTTACATGTTGTCAACTCTTTCCAGAATGATTTGATGTTAGGCTAATTCTGGATTTCTCTGTTTCTCTCCACCCACACTTCATGATGCACTTCAGAGAACAGAAAACCCCATATTACTTTTTTGTTTCTACAATTGGACAATGGCTCTTTTATCTTTTTCTCCATTTGTGTCTGGCACACACGTCTTCAGTGACACAATCGACTTGTGCTGATTTTCATCTTATTTATTTAGCTGATTCTTTGTTATAGGTGGTCTTAAATGAGACATTGTGATCTGTTCGGTTTTGTTGTAAAGAAGAATATAAACCAGTAATGAGTGTGGAAAAAAAATGTTCGAAGAAAGCAAATAACTGGAAAGATGTCTTTGATATTCTGTTGTTTAAAAAAAAAAATCATCAAGTAGCACTCCTCTAGCCTGTCATGTGGATTTCAGAGTGAAGTATAATGATTCTTGTTTTGGTGTCCATCTTTTTTTTTTTTTTTTTTTTTAAGAACTTTGATAGTGCCTGAATTTTAGGTGTCCTTTGATTAGAAAGTGTGTATAAATCCTGTCCCTCTGTAACTGAGCTTGATATGCATTTTGCTAGAAGAATTATCGTAACAGATGTTCTTCTGATGCTGGAAAGACATTCCTATTCCATTTATCAGGTCTTTCAGGCCTGATAAAACAGAATGCTTAATGCCTTGATTGTACAACTAACAGTGTGCTTAGATGTTTCATGAAAGAATAACAAAAGAATGACTACTGTTCTTACCTTAATAAATTTGGAGCCTTGTTTGCCATTGAATGAAAAGTCCAAAATTCATTCATTCAACAAACATTTATTGACTGGCTACTAAGTGCTAACCAGTGTACAAAGGTGAACACAAGCAAAAGTCTACTCTGTATTGGAGCTTAATTGAAGTGGGGGTGGGGATAGTGAGATAGTACATAAAGAAATCTAATTTTGATTAAGTGCTAAAGAAAATGAATGTTGTGATAGAAAATGTTTGTAATGCAAATCAACAAACATCTTTCTGTCTTTTTTTTTGGTTCTGAACCCAGGGGCACTTTACCACTAAGCTGCATCCCCATCCCTTTATTTTTTAATTTGAGACAGGGGCTCACTAAGTTCTTCAGGTAGGGCCTTGCTGAGTTGCTGAGGCTAGCCTTGAACATCCTCCTACATCAGCCACCTTAGTTCCTGGGATTGCAGGTGTGTGCCACCACATCTGGCTTCAAGAAAGATTTTTCTGAGGTGATACTTAAGCTGAGCTTTAAATAAATAGCCAGCCATGAAAGATAAGGGGAGGAGCCTTCCAGGTTCAGCGAATGGTTGGTGCAGAAACTAGCTGGAATGAACTTGGCAAGTTCCAGAGACTGGGAAGAAATTGGTGGCAGGAAGGGGAAGAGGGCAGTAATAGCCAGAATAGGGAGCAAAATGTTGAGTAAAAAGAGAGGGTCAGAGAGGGGGAGGTAGGGCTCAGAATAGGTAGAAAAATAAAGGCTAAAAGGATGAGGAAATAGGTAATGAAGCTCCTTTTTGATTAAATCTGTTACATTTCTAAGGGTCTTATCACTGTTTTTGCAGGTACTGTTGGACTATTGTAACAAAAAGTCACCCAGCTGAGAGTGGGAAAGGAGGAGGCACTTGGGATGTTCAGTTGAGGGCATACTTTAATGCATGCTAGTATGTGAATCTTTCATCTCTGTGAATTTAAGGTTGAAGGATCAGGCATGTGTTAATACATGCCCTGTTGATCTACAGAGATGACCATGAAGATCCAACTTTAAAGCGGTTTTTTTGTGGGGAGGAAGACTTTATGTTGCAATAGTCCACTCTTGTCTGGTCCTCCTGGTGGCTAATAACACCCAGCTGATATGTAGGTTGGTACTAAAAGGTCACTCAATGGATTACATTAGATAATGACCACCGTAGGGCTCATTTCCACTATGTTGGCATCTTTGGGTTGTCCCATAACCAAGGCCTTTTGTTGGAGGTACAGTGTACTGCTTTGGAGCCTCACCTTGACCAGATTGTCCACTTGAGAGGTCTAATAAAGACTTCTCCTTGATTTGGCCCTTTTCAGCCATATCACAGTGGTCTGAAACAGAAAGAATATGCTTCTTTTTTCTTTTGAACTTTACAACAGTAACTAGTGTGTTCTTTGAGTGAATCAGCCTTTTGAGCCAGGCAGTTAAAAGACTTAAATGTTGCTTGGGCTATTTGAAGTAAACTCAGTATTAGAAATGTTTAATAAAACCTCTTAGTGTTTGGGAAAGATTAATAAAAAATTGAGAATTTGTCACCTGTTGTAGGTTCTGGTATTGTGATAGCACCTATATATGGTTGTCAGAATGAACTTGAATGGAGCTTTCTGGGTTAATTCTGGGCAATGAAGGGATGCAGCAGAGCCTGGTACCGAATTCTGATGTGAATACAATCAAAACCTTACCAGGCAGATGACTAAAGTGAACAGCTTAGGGCGAGGCAAACAATATACTCCACCCTTCATACTTTGAGTAGAACTAAGAAATGGACAATTGGTAGTAATATATGCACACATACACATGTACATATGTGTGTATATGCATACATGTATGTAGGTGTATACAGGTACACATATATGCATATAGATACACACCTGTGTTTATGGATGTACACATATGCACATACGTACACATATTAACCACACATTTGGTTTGGCCCAGGTTAAAGATTTTGAACTTAATTTTGTTATGTTCATGCTAGGCATAAAATGCTCTATCCAGTGGGTTATTAAGCTGACAACTATATTTATCTTCATTTCAATTGTTTATTATAACTCAAGTATGAAAATATCCTGTAGGCTGAAATTTCATCAGCCAGTTTGAAGACTGGTGGCTCTTTTCTAATTTTTGAAAGGGGGTGGATGGGTAGGAGGGGACTTGAACACAGGGAGAGGCCATTGACTCCTACATTGGCCACTAATTGTGTTTGGAGAAAGAATCTGCAAATCCAAGTACATTTGGAGCCTTGGAGCTAGGTTGGCCTTTTAATGTAGGGTACCAGTGAATTTGTTTCTTAATTAGATGGAAGCTTTGGGCAAACTCTTCTGAAAGGTGTACACCTAAAAAGTCAGCTGACACCACTTGCTGTTGGAGTTGTGGGTAAGTGCTTTTGCATCGCATTAGATGACTTAAAGTTGATCTGATTTTGTTACTGTTTGATATATGTTCTGCAGTAAGGAGAGTTAATTGTACACTGGCTGCCAGTTGTTTTGAGGTGAAGAAGTGGTAACTCAGATTGAAACAATGGTAATTATGTGGTAACTTCTATTTCCCCAGCTCTTGTTAACTTGCAGTTACCTCTTTGTGTCTGTTTACAGATGTTGATACCATTGAACCTGGATCGGTTCTTCCTAATGTTGGGACAGTGGCTGGAGCCCTTTGCACATCAGGGTCAGTTGAGTCGGTGTCCTTTAGTTCAAATCTGATTTCGCTAGTTCTGTTTTTGTAGGTGATAGAGGGTCTTATTTGGGGGGGGGGGCCAAAAAGGGAGACTGGGGGGGATAATAGATAAAAGGTAGGAAGTGGCTCAATCTCCAATTCTCTGAAATTGCGGTATGCTGAAAAGAGAAAACAGCAGGGGGGAAATGCCCAGTCATCTTTTTTAGGATGTGTGCAAATGAGACCTCATTTTAATACCATAAATCAGAATAGGGAAACTCAGTAAATTGGTGACTAGCCCTTGTTGTGACAGAATAAGTCACTTCCCCAGCATCTGGTTACCAACCTGATTGCATAGATAGGTAGACATCTGTGTCATCCTGAGGGCTTGGTCTTGCTCAGGTGTGTCCTTTGGGCTGAGCTGCACTGTTGGCTTTTGAGCTGAATTGCATCATGGGAGCCTAGATTACATAGCTTTGGGAAGCATCATCCATGTTCCAGTTGTGCTCTGTCTTGCTGGAGGACTAAACCTGGCAAATGGAATAATTCTGTGATGAGACCTATAAAGATGATTGACTGAGGATCTTGGATAGCACCCCTGCATAGTATAGGACTTTTCATTTTGGAAGAGAGTTTATCTTCTTGTTGCCATTGCCTTACTCTCTGCCTGTTAGTCTAGGAGACAGTGTTGGAAGGACCTGGCTCCCTGTTTTAGTAATAGATTGCTCCCACACTATTAATCAGCAGAATTTGACTACAGCTTTTAATTCTATTTTGTTCTTGAAGGATTTGGACTCTTCAGTGTTGACCTGAACTGGACTGGAGAGTGACTTCTAATTTTGGTTCTAAGCAAGACTCAGGTGGTAGCATTTACTTTTTTGAATACAGTTAATTCCACTTCCTTGAGTTTAGGAAGAATCAGGAAAAAAGTCAGATCCTTGCAGAACCTTCGAATATTTATTGTGATTTATTTATTTATTTATTTTAACAAGTTGAGCTTTAAGATGCTCTCTTGGTGACCATTACTGGAATATGCTTGTGGCAGGGATGAGGGGATTTGGCTTTCTTCCTTCCATTTTACCCCACTGCTTGATTCTGAAAAAAGTTCTTATTCTTATAATATTCTTGTACAGTGGGCTTTCCCATAAAATTTCAGTTGAACAAAATGTTCTGAAGATGAAAACAGGTTGAATAGCAGTGATTTTAGTGGGAAAACAAATCAAGAAAGTTACAGAGCCTTCTCAGCACTAATTCTTATCCTCTCCATTACACAGCCTCTCTTAGTCTGTGTAGACATTCAGTAGAGCCTAAGTAAATCCTTGGTATTGGTTTTCTATATTCCTGGTTTCTTTACCTAAACATTTTGTCACAAACTATTAATCTTCTAAATAGGACTCTTTCTATATATAGCATGGCATGTGTGAAGCAATTTTATTAATGACTAATAGGATGAGAGTTCCCCAGTTTAGAGAGGTTGTGGATACTAACTTGGAGAGCAGGCTTTTCCCCCTCAAAATATTTCTGAAAGTTGTCACACTACATTCAAATAGGAGTTGAGGCTTTTTTTTTTTTTTCACTTAAATCTTAAGCTAATTGCACATGCTTTAGAGAAGACCTGTGCAAAATATTAACCCATGTACAGTATTTCCTTTACCCAGTGATCTGCTCTGGAATCTGAATAGGAAAATGAAGGTATACCCACTGACAGAGTAGCTCTGTGGAAATAACCACAATGAGTATACACTGTTTTTTTTTAAATGTTTGTAAAGCAAATTTACTTTCATTTAAATGCTTGCTTTCTATCCACTGGTTACCTTGCTCATTAAACAGGGAAGAGAGGTTTTGGATACATCTTTGGGGAGCGTGCTAGCCCTCTAAAAGCATGAGTGAGTCCTGAGTGGCAGGATCAAGGGATATGCTAGAAGTTTCAGGCCCTATAAGGGTGGATTGGAGGGGGAGGGGTTCTCACTTGTGGTAGTATTATCTTTCTTTCTTGGAAGTGGAATTGAGGAGCTAAAAAGTGATTTAATGAATGCTGTGTTCATCTTTAAGAGTGTTTCCATGGTGCTGGGCGTGGTGGCGCATACTTGTAATCCCAGCAGCTCAGGAGGCTGAGACGGGAGGTTCACGAGTTCAGAGCCAGCCTTAGCAATGGCGAGGTGCTAAGTAGGACTGGGCATGTGGCTCAGTGTTTGAGTGTCCCTGAGTTCAATCCCTGGTACTCGCCGCCCCCCCCCCCCCCAAAAAAAAAAAAGTTTCCATGGCGCTCTTGTCTTAGCAAATTAAGTTTTCTTGGACCTAACTTGTCACTTGTCCAATCATTTATTCAGAACAGTTGGTTATAAGTTATGGCCATGGGCTGGACATTTCTGCTTGGGGTTTCCAAATCTTTATGAAAGAGAAAAATCTAAAGGCTTTTCAGGAGCCATTTAGGTGATTCTGTTGCGGGGGGCAGAATTAGAGTTAGGGGAGCAGACCTTTATAGGAACAGAGTAGTAGAGGAGGGTATTGTGTCCAGGGGATAGTGGGGAAGAGACCTGTTCTCAGTGGTCCAGCTGGGAAGGGCTAAAAAGTACTAAATGGCACTTACTGAGGGGACAGTGGGTAGGAAAGATACAGTCCCACATGATTGCCTAACTCAGGGAATACCATTTACTAGGAGGGGGACACGGACCTGTGGAGTTATGCAATATACTGGCCCCGATCAGGGCTCTGACCACAAGTCCTCTGTCCCCCAACTGGAAGGTATATTTCTGCTGCAGAGAGAGGAGTGCAGGGATGTAGTGGTTAGTTTGACTAGCTTGGTCTTCAAGACTCCCTGGTTATTTATTTGTGATGGTCTGCTTATGGAGTGCTGGCTTTCTCTTTTAGATTTATGTCACTTAGGACTTTATATTCACAAATCAGAAGTTGGTAAGTAAGATGGGAAATATAATGATCTGTTAAGGTTTGGGTTAAGAGTGTGTGCGTAAGGAAGAGAACAATAGATAGTGGCTGTTGTCACATAACAATGTCTGCAGTTCAGTGTGAACAGGTAAGCTCTTGAGGTAACACATGATTACTCTCTCCTGAAACTAGAGTAAATGTGCAATAAATCACTGTAAAACTTGTCTGCATTTTTAAAATTTTAAAATTTTTTAAATTTAAAATTTAAAAAAAATACCATGTCTGCATTTTTTAAAATTTAATTTTTTTTTTTTTAAATGTTGGTGGTACTGGGGATTGGATATAAGACTTTACTCAAGCTCTGTCACTAAGCTGCATCCCCAGAGGGGCCTCCCGCCACTTTTTTCCTCCAGCCCTATTATTATTATTATTTTATTTTGAGACAGGGTCTCACTGTTGTCCACACTGCTGACCTTGAACTTATGATCCTCTTCCTCACCCTCCCGAGTAGGTACTTTCACAGTCATGCAAAACCATGCCTGGTACCACCTTGTGTTCTACTGAGGTGCATGTGAATCTGCCTAAAGAGTGTGATTTCTTACTAGTGCCAAATTCAGCAGTGCTCTGAATTAGTGACAGGTGAAGATTTCATGATTAGATCAAGCCTGGGAAGTGGCTTCTAAGCATCAGTGAAGTTGGCTTTAATGTGGACCTGTTTTTCTGTGGTGTGTCCAAAATGTGTTTCTTAAATAATAAAAGACACATCAGTCAGGAAATTCCAAGAGTTTTAGGAGTTGGCAGGAGCCAAAGACAGAACATATTTTTTATTATACCACATTTTCCTCCAGTTTTGTAATGGAATAAGGCTACCTACAGTTAATTTAGATGACACTTAGCAATGTGCATTATTATTTTATGGTATTTTTTGATATTCAGGGTGCTGCAAACAGTTGAATAACTCAGGTTACAGGAAGTGAACTTCCCTCAATATAAATGGCATTCCTAGGACTGGAGATGTACCTCAGTGGCAGAGTACTTTCCTAGCATATGCCTGGGTTCCATCCCCAGCACTGGGGTAGAGGATTGCGGGGAGGTCGCATTCCCAGAATGTGCTATATTCTTAAAACTTCACAGTACGCTGGTGCACTAATTCTAGACCTCCCTAATAGAAGAAAAGAGATAATGAGAAATTAGATATACAGATATCACATTACCTTTTAATATGATTTGAAAACAGTGTAGGTATATATAGTGCATTGGTGAAGAGATTAGGTCTAGAGTCAATCCAGGTTTGAGTCTGAACTTCAGCACCTACTTGCAATTTGAACTTGAATGAGCCACTTATTACGAGGCCTCAGTTCTATCATGTGTACATTGACAGTAATCTCTGGAAATAAGTGTGAAGATTCAGTAAAATAATGCATTTGAAGGACATGGCCTAGGGCCTTTGCATATAGATAAACATTTAATAATATTGTTAGCTGCATGGCATACATAGCTAAGCTTACCTGGATTGGCAGCTTTCAAGAGGCTAGGAACTATGTCATTTTACCTCTTCCTATAGTCAAAGTATGGGGCAGTGTATAAAACATTGCTAGGCACACAGTAGATACAAGTTATCTATCGCTTGAAAATAAAACCTGCCCTTTGGGTATCTGGGAAATACATGAGTGATTCTGTAATGGAAACTTCCAGCCTATTTCCAAAGCTGGCCTAAACCCCAGAGATGGAAAATCTTCCTCTTGAAACCCTATAGAGCCTGCATGAGTCTAACAATGGGACAAGGGGTCAGGATACTGTTGGATCAAAAATTGGGAAACTGATCCAGGAGACATTTTAATCTTTGGCCATATGCCTTAAAGTTCAGTGTGTTGGGCAAAACCACATGAGACTTTGGAAGGAAACAAGGTTTTCTTTTAGCAGATCCAGATAATCTTTGACAAGAGAGTCAGCTGGTAAGTGCCATGTTATGAATTTGCTTCTTGGGAGAAGTGAAAAGCCCACATTCACACACACAGGGCTCACTGACTAGTCTCACTTGTTGTGAACTCTACTGAGGCCTGGTCTCTAACTTGGTTAGCTCAGTTAAGTACTCTGGAGAGTACTTAAGTACAATCACCACTGGGCAGTCCTTGAGTCTAGCCTGGACTCTGCCATTATTTGCTGTGTGACTTTGGGCAGGTCATAACCCCTCTTTGAATTTGTTTCATTAACTGATTTTTTTTTGGAGGGGAAGGGTACCAGGGATTGAAGTCAGGGGCACTCGACCACTGAGCCACGTCCCCAGCCCTATTTTGTATTTTATTTAGAGACAGGGTCTCACTGAGTTGCTTAGCACCTCGCTTTTTGCTGAGGCTGGCTTTGAACTTGTGATTCTCCTGCATCAGCCTCCCAAGCCTCTGGGATTACAGGCTTGTGCCATCGCACCCAGCCTTTAACTGTGACAAATGGTTTAGGACTAAATTTCTTGAAGTGTGGCTTTGGTTACTCTATGGCTTTGGTTACACTTACAGTATATGAGCTGCTCTTATGAGCACTCAAGGGAGTGTATTTTTGTGTCATTGACAGTATACAAGATGATTTTTGGTGGTATGTGATGATTACTTTTAATTTATTCTAGTTTTTAATATGTATTACTGAAAACATAACTAGAATATGACACATGTGTCCACCTGGATATTTAGGCTTAGAATAATGCTAAAGTAGATAGAATTTTTTTAAGCTTAAAAAAAAAATCTCATGAACAGTAGTTGGGATGGAAAATGGACATGTAAATCATAAAGGTGGTAAGGAATGGCTGAAGTTTGTAAATTTAAAGACTCATTAATTCTAGTGCAGTGCCAGATCTTAATGTTAAATCTTTGTGGTGATGGCCACAGTCCAGCAGGTCCAAATTTGAGTGGGCTTATAGACTTTTCTAACTCAAGCAAATTAACAAATTTTTATTTTCATAGAAAAATATTCATAGGTTGTATAGAATTTAAAATGTCATAAACATTAATAGCGCTGCCTTTTTTTTCTGTTGTATAGTACTGGGCATCAAAACTGGGCCTTGTGTATGCTAAGCAAGAACTCTACCACTGAGTCACATCCCCAGCCTGTGCCCCCCTTTTTTTTAAAACAATAAAAAATGAATAATATTGTATCCTTCACTGTTAGCAGTTTCTCTGCTACCTGGATTGATCTTTAGTTCCATTCACTGTTTGATGTTGGGACTCCTATGGTAGAAGTTAGGGTCTGACTTGCTCTGTTGGGGAAGAAGAAGAAAAACCCTTGACTGCTTCTCTTGCACACAACCCAGGGCATGGATTCAAGGCTCTGAAAGCCGGAGGCTCTGCCTCATCTCAAGAGCCAACCTGTACATTACTTACTGCTGGTAACTGTTTTAGAAGGACAGTGTGACATGTGCCCTAAAGTGAAGTTAAACACTGAGGCAGACAGTTTTTAAAAATCTCGTTTCACTTTCTTTCCTGTTGCTCATGATTTAACGCAGTGAGGAGGTCTTGAAGGCAGACTAGTAGTAGTGAAAATGATACCATCTATTGTGGGAGGTGCTTTTTTCAGTAAAACCCCAGAATAAAACTGAAATCTCTATTGAGCAATAGAGGTTGGGAAAGCTGCTTCCAGATGTAGTCTGTGTTTCTTGATTTTTCTGCTTTTTTAAGCCTTTTTTTATCTATCGTTCCTGTATATTTTCTTTGTATCTTACCACTCTCATCTCTCATCATCTATATACATTTGGTGGTTGGTATATGTTTTTCAAGTGATCTTATTCCAAATTTACTCGGCATAAAGGACCATGGATTTGTTATTGCTCCCTGTTATAAATTGTTTAATATTTCAAATGATAATTTTTGAAAATTGCTATAAAGATGTTTTCAAGTCTATTTCCTTTCTGTGCCAAATGTTACAGGATTAGTTTAATATTGAGGAAAATGGTGATAATGATGTAGCATAAAGTTTATCTTCTACTTCACTTGTGTAATATAAGATATATAAGATTTCTTCTTTAAGAAATCTTTCTTTCTTTTTTTTTTTGACAGAGCTGAGGATGGAACCCAGGCTTGAGCATGCTAGGAAGGTGCTCTACCACTGAGTTTCACCCCCAGCCCTCTGTATGATTTCCTAATGAGAAACTCCTCTTATGTTCCCCAGCTGAGGTGGGATTTAGTGTTCCATGCTTCAAATCCTTATATAATTTTGATTTTTTTTTTCATTCACAATTGTCTTCTGAGAACGGCTATGACTTGTGTTACTGGTACATTGGGGAAGTCTTTTACCTAAGGTCATATACGTTCATATATATATGTATATATACACACATGTACATGCACACACACACCAGGGCCTTATGCATGCTTGGTAAGAACTGCACCACTGAGCTGTACCCCAGACTATTCCTTTAAAAAAAAAAAAAATTTTGAGATAGGGTCTCTCTAAATGGCCTTGCTAAGTTGGGACTGGTCTCATACTTGCCATCCTCTTCCCTCAGCCTCGGGAATAGCTTCCAGGATTACCAGCGTGGGACACCACTTCAGGTTTTAAGGCTGTTTTGCCGGATTAAAAATCTTCATTCCCAGAAAGATCTACTTCATGGTATGCATCTGCAGCAATTTTATTTGAATTGTAACCAGTTTACCTGTCTCCTTGGATGTAAAACTCACAAGACCACCTTACTCAGGGCAGATATATATCAGGTTTCTGAAATAATCCATTCCTTTAGTACAATGATTGATGAGTCTGGATGAATTCTGAAAGGGAATGGGCGTGGTTTGTGACATTTGCCCTTGCTCTTCAGACTAAGTTTTGTAAAGCCCTTAAAGTGGGGTTATTTATTTCCTTCTCTCCTTGGGAAATTGCCATTGGATCAATGTGTATTGGTTAAGCTTTCTTGTGGGCAGCTGAGCAGTAGGGTTTTTAGAGATGAGAGCCACATGAAAGAAGATGATTCTTTCCCAGTCATACAAATAATTATCTCCATGGTAGTATAATCTCCATGAAAGTATAAGCATATGAAACCACTCAGTTAAAAAGATGATACATAATTCAGAGGAAAGTTGTACAAACATGGTGGTAGCATTCAGTACCTTTCCAGGCTGTTTCCAGGACCACTTATCATGATCTTCTTATGGTAGAGTAAACTTTCAGTTCATCTAGAATCTTTTTGCTTCTAAAATAAAGAGTTTTGGGGATGTTGGAAACTTGAACTTTTCTGGAAAATTCAAATTAAAAAAAAAAAAGAAACACTTAATTGAAGATTTAATCTTTAATTCGAACTTTAAAACTTCCCTAGGCAAAGAACTGAAGTTGCTCAATCTATCAGAGCATTTGCTTTTCTAAGTATATAGTTCTCAACTATTGCTTGACCCAGCGAAAAGAGCTAATAAAAAGTTATGCAACAGGTTAAAATCTTTCCAGTTGCCTTTCCCCCTGTTTGGAAGGAATGATTTTTTTCGTTCTCAGTAAGTAATTTGGTCCAAGCCACTCCCCTTTCTTATTTGCATATTTATTATTTGCATACAGTGCTGAAATTGATTCACTCAACACAAAATTCTAAAGCTTTCCAGCATTAATACTTCTGACAAAACCTGCTTAAGCAAAAGAGCTTCGATTGCCATAACAGCTTAAAAGAGCAGAAATTTTTAGAAACACATTTTTAACATTGCTCAAGATTTCTAAACAGATAAAAGATATTTTCTCCTTAAAAAGAGCCAGATTTTGTGGTTTTCCAGTTAGAAGTATATGAATGAGGGACTGGCTTTCCTAGATGGAATGTGAATCATTCATAGGGGACTTCTGAAACTCAAAACCAGTCTTATAAGCTAGAAAATTTCGGCCTCCAAAATGTAATCCTCTCAGGATTACATAGGATCTTCGTAGAGAAGCGCGCATAGTTTGACCCCAGGATTTAAATATGTAGTGTTTTCAAAAGAAGAAATGTATTTATATGCTGCCAGCTCTTCATTCCAACAAATTGGAGCGCCTCTAGTTCTTCAGGACCTTATAGTATTTTAGGAACATCAGAAACAAGAACAATTAAGGTTGTAAAATCAATACTATAAAAAAATCAGTTGTATAAAAGAAGGTGCTGAGAGGCATAGAGACACTTGGTCAGCAGGAAGGAGTCCTGTAGGAAGAAAATCTGAGCTAGACTCAAAGGACCAAGACTAGAGAACAGGGAATGAAGAGATATTCCCAACAGTACTGATGGTGCATGTAACCCTATAGTGACAGGAGAGGCCTTGATGTCTTGGGGAATGGCAGATGTTGCAATGTGCCTGAGATACCTGAGATGAAAGGGGAAGAATAATGACAGCAGTTGAGGACAAATCCAGACGAGCCTTGTATGCCTTGTTGAGTTTGGATTTTGTTCTGTAGAGGAAGGGGAATTTATTTTGAGTAGGGACATGGCATGCCCACATTTGTGTGTGTGTGTGTGTGTGTGTGTGTTTTTACTACAGTGGCTGTGTGGAGAGATTGGAAGTAGTTAAACCTTTTGTGAGGGTATTACAATAAAGACAGCAGAGGCCTGAACTAAATCAGTCACTGTAGAATGGGGAAGGATAGATATTCAGGAGTTAGAACTTAAAAACGTGGCTTATTCTGATGAAAACTCATTTGTTCCATTTGGCTCAGTAGACAGAGCCAAATGGAACAAATGCTCCATACAACCACACAGGAACCCAGGCTGACATAGGAAGGCTCCACTATCTCATATGGTACCGTTTGTATAGTTTGGGTCACTGGCTCAGCTCACTAAGGGGGAAAGATGGGTGAGATGTCATGTGATAAATCTGTGCCTGGGCCTCAAAATAATATCACATCTGCCTGCAGTCACTGAGTCATTTCTGCCTACAGCCCATTGGCCAGAAATAGACACATTTCCCCATGTAAATGAAAGGACACTTGGAAACTGGGGAGCTGATGGAGTGTTTGCTGAGCTCCCTTGACTCTGTCATAGAGTAGGGCCTTGTGTAAGCTGCTTTATTTCCGAGCTCATTTCCTCATCTGTAAAATAGAGATAACAGTAGTACCATCCTCCCAGGGTAGCTGTGGAGATTAAATGCTATCATGACTGGAAAATGTCCAGCATTGTGTCTGGCACATAAGAGGTTGGAGGAAACCTTCAAATTTGGTCTTGAGATTTTCATTCTATGCATGTATGTCACTGGAGGGTCATACCAACCAGTTTAAAAATGAAATGTAAAAGAAATATGATAAATCAGAGTGCATCACAGGAGTAATAATATTGTGTGAAACTTCATTAGGTCATGCGTGTGTTTACATGGGTGTATTAGGTCAGGATGTAGAATGTATTTCTCACTGAAGGTTGTAGCTGCAGTTTGAAAACTGCTGGTCTATTTCAAGCTCTCATTCTGAGTAACTGAAAGATATGGAGCACCGAAACATACAGAATGCCACCCTGCGGTGGTGTGCTTTTTGTAAAAGAGGCAGTTTAAAAACCTGCATTTAAAATAATGTCTTTGAAAGCATTTTCCTTAAAAGAAAGAGTAGAACGTGGGGTTAGATTTTAGCTTTGCCACTTTTTAGCAGTGTCGCCTTAGGCAAATTATTCGCACTTAATGCCTCAATTTCCTCATCTATAAAATGGTGAAAATAACATCTACCCTCTGGGGTCTTTGCATGGATTATTGGGTTGTTGTATTAGTTAGTATGTACAAAAATGCTTTTAAAATATAGTTTGGTACATAGTAAACCTTAGGGAAGTATTTGTGGATATTATTATGTAAAAGTGATGAGTAATCTGTTGTAGTGGTGCACACCTATAATCCCAGCAGCTTGGGGGTGTGAGGCAGGAAAATTGCAAGTTCAAGGCCAGCCTCAGCCTCAGCTACTTAGTGAGACTGTGTCTCTCAAAAGCATATGTGTATCTATGTATACACACACACACACACACACACACACACACACACATACACACACACACCATGGGCTGGGTTGTAGCTTAGTGATAGGAAAAAAAGGGATGTATAATGTGCATGTAGGTACATGGTAGGTGGTTATTTTTCATTTGATTCTTTAGAAAGTGTTTCTTAGGTGTTTCTTCACATTGCCTTACACTCTTCTTCCCTTCTTGGAGCTTACAGTAATGTCCTGTTTTTTATTCCCTTGTTATATTTGTTTACTTGTGACTCATGAATGTTTGTGTTCCTTACGAATAAATACTATTGTCATTCATTTAAACCTTAAATATATAATAGAATAAAGTGTTTTATAAAAAAAAAATGTCATTGCACACTTAAAAATTCAGTCAGAAAAACTTACTGAGGGAGAAAGTAATGAAGCATTTTCTTTTCTGGTTCTTAAAAACATTTTTTTGGCCTGGAAGAAAACAGTGTCAGTTTTTTAAGATTGTTTTAAGTTTGACTTCTTACAGTGAGTAGTTAATGTCAGCAAACCGATTTGTAGTGAGAAAGATGACTGTGCTTTTTGCTAAGCAGTGGTGGATAATGACTCTTCCATTTTGATAAGCCCATTGGCAGTACTGAGTTGAAACCTGGGTGAATAGGAGTTAATCCTGGTTGCCTGGCACAAATGAATTTGTTATGTAATTTGGTACCCACAAGCCCTTTCGGGAGGTCTTTATTATCATGACAGTATCCATCTAGGCCTGAAGGTGAATTTTGTTGTTCTCATCTAATTCCACCAGAATGATTCTCATAACTAAAGGGTAGCACCTTGCTGTTAAATACCTGCATTTGGCTTTTGCTTTGACACAAGGGTGTGTTAATCAAGAATGGGCATTAGAAATTCAGATATATTTTAGTGATTTATTAATAGTTTAGAAGGTTTTTCTCTCTCTCTCCTTTTAACTGATTTAACTTCTAAAAAATGAGTCACATAATCAACATTCCCTCTGACCAGCCTCTGAAAGGTCTATTAATGCTCTGTGTTGTAGTTGCTGCTGCAGTTCATTTGTGTCAGTCCTGCCACTGCTGAAACTAATGCGGAAGGGGTGTCAGTTTGGTTTTCCATCACCTGGCACAGTGGACTCCTTAAGCCTGGCGTTGGTGGACATCCACTGTTAACAAGCCTGTACTATTTTTTATGACTCACTAAGAAGTCATGTGGTGGTGTGATCCCCATCCCCAGCTACCAGCACTTAAACTTATAATTTTCAATGTATTGTGTTAAAACAAACTTCTAATTCTGGCTATTTTTCTTTTTGATTTTAGTCCTAAAATTGGAGGCTCTATTTTTATAAAGCAGGCTCCTATAAAAGTCACCAGTGTTGCTATTCTCTCTCTACCCCAAATATCATAGCTGGGCCTGGGGGTGGGGAGAGCACGAGCTGGCTGTTTCACAGGGTAAGCAGAGTGTGTGGGCCTGCCAGCCAGCGGGGGTGGAATTTGCTCTTTGCTTTCTTGGCAAGTGCCTCTGGCTTTGAAAGCCCTGTTTAGGACTTTAGATCTTGGTCTTTTCTTGCCATCCTATGCCCATTGTCTCTGGTGGTTCTACAAGAGATGGAAGACCTTTATTGCCCACACTCTTACCCTCTTTGCCAAGGTACATGCTTCAGTTGTCTGAATCCAAAGCTCTTCTGCCATTGAATGAGTTTTTGTAAATAACACAGT